TGGCTTGCATGCCGACGATCTCTTGACAAGCGGATTGACTTGGGGAGTGAACGACGAGAAACCGCCGCGAGCAACAGGAACGTTGCCGTTCAAAGGAGTGTCATGAAGGGAAGCAGAACGAGTGGAATGGCTGGAGGAAGAATCAACGAAAGCAGGGACAACAGAACCTTCTTTTGCAAGACTGCTCCCACAGACGAGCGGGAGCAGTAGCCAGGCAGATAATCTGGCCATGTTGAGCCGTGATTCAACGCAACAGCACGAAAGGTTACGGACGCGGGGGAGGGACAAAAGTACGTGGTCAGACCTTGTATTCTACAGGGGCTACATACACTGATATAACATCCCGTCTCTTATCTGATACCAGCCCCAGAGGACACCAGCTTCTCGGTTACGAAAAAGCCATGAGTTTCGCCCAGTCTAGAAGAACTCGGCTCGCCCGTCAGACTAAGTAGTCTGGGGCCTGGCAAAGCCTTCATCCCAAGTGACAGAAAGATTTGGAAGAGTTTAGGATAGCTTATGATGAGCGTAGTGGGCTCTTTGACCAGTTTATTATGGCTCCTACTCTAGGGTCTTACGACACCCTGAGAATAGTGCCGGCCAACAAGCAGCTGAACATGGCATTTCAGAAACTATCGATCTCGTACAAAGGCTAGAGAGCAAGCGACACAGAACGGTCGAATAGAATGTTCAAGCCAGTCCAGGGGACTCGGCCGTGACGGAAGATAGCGCCGGAAGAATTATTTGGAGACGGTGAAATATACCCTTTCGGGAATAGAGGCAAGGTGTAGTGGGACGACCCTAGATTTCATCTCGTCTCTAGCTGAACGGTAGGTCTAGGCCTGGACTAGAGACCAATGAGAGAGCATTGGTGACGACTTGCTGGAGTAACCAGACCAGACTGCCGGGAGTTTAGACCGTTGCCAAGAAGGTTTTTCGTTTCTTGTGGGACGAGGACGATGTCACGATAAGGTTCCCAACGGCTGAACCCCTTTTTTATGTCTGAGTTTAAACAGAGTTTCATAAATAATCATCTTAACTCTGAGTTTAATAATTTATGTTTAGAGAGCGGTCGAATTGCTATTAGATAGACTCTCCGCAAACTCAAAGTGTCACGATCCTGACCTCACAATCCCAGACCGATTCATAAAGTTCAAGGCCAGCACCACCCACGTCAGCCCATCGTCATTTCCAAAATTACAGGGGTAAGCCATGAAGCAGATTCACTATCGAATCTCCCAGCCACGAATGGAGAAGGCCCCGAAACGATTTCCCAATGTGAGTGTTCTAAAGTGATTTTGTACGCTAAGTTAGTCGGCGGGTAGGAAGTTTATATCAGGAATAGTCTCACCTTTCGCGACCGCCACCGCCACAAGCTAATGATTCTGACAGAAGCGACACGTGGACCGGACACTGCGCTTATCGGTGTTTCCATACGAGTGGAATAGAAGTCTTAGATCTGGTGCAGGGGATACCCCTGACTTGGGACTCAGCTTGAGTCAGTCATGTGCGACGCTTCGCCTTTTTTTTAGTCGCTTTCCTGTGAGAGAATCATGCTTCTCTTTGGATTAGCCGATGCTTATTACCGATAGATCTCGACTCCTCTTCAAGGCCGCGTGGTCTTCACTGGTTGGCCTCAATGTTCTCGACCTTTCTTGTTAGAAACAGCCGAGGCTCTTATGCGCAAGCTCCAGCAAATAGTGTTTAGAAGAACCGTGAACCTGGTAAATCTCAATTATCGATAGGTCTTTTCGTGAAACTAGACAAGTCCGTAATCGGAGGTAACTCTTTGTTTGCTAAAATGGATCTAGGCTTTGGGTCTTAAGCAGACTTGGTTCGACTACCCTAGATAGGATAGATGTAGAACTTGTTCTCAAGATCAGTTAAATCCAGCAATGCAATCTCGACCTTTCTTCGAACAATCTGGCCATTCTCATCTAGCTGTTCGACCTCACCAAACTCGTGTGCAAGTCTCTCTTCTTCGCTTAAACCAGCCGCCCACTCTTTGCGCTCCTTATTCCTCTTCTTGAGAATAAACTGAATCACGAATAAAATCGCTGGAGTTCCCACCCAGCTAATGAGAATCATTGAAATCCAAGCACCATAGTACCTGGGAGCATCCTTTGGAACCCATATTTGCGGCGATATCAAGTTTGCAACACTGTAGCCGATCATGAACATAACATTGCGGGTAAGCTTCTTGGTGTAGCCAGCAGCACTAGATGTTGCCCAGCCCAGGGCGATGATGTAAGTGTTTCCGTAGGTATGGCCTGCGAGGAGGAGACAAGCAAGCATTCCGAGTTTCTCGTTCCAGTTGATGGCGACCATTCCGATACCGCCAGCAACAGCAGGTATACACCAGACAAGGCCGTGAAGAGCGAGGTTTGAGGGCCACCACTTCAATGCGAAAGTTCCAGCAAGACAAACCGCGACTCCGAAGCCACCTCCAGCTGCAGCAACAAGAGTTGAGCCAAGAGCATCGACGCCGAGGGCTGTAGTAATGAGATTTTGTTGACCGTATGTTAAATTGTTGGACATCATGAGGGTAAAAGCCTGGAGTGCAAACAGCCACGAAACTGGATCCCGAAGCGTCTCCTGAAATTGTGTCTTCTTGAACTGCTTCTGCTCGATGGAACTCTGGCTCGACTCGTGCACTCTCTTGATAGAGTGAACCTTTTCTTCCAAAGTCAAGAACCTAGCCTCGGCGGGGTTATTTGGGTAGAAGAACCAGACAAATACAGACAACAAAACGGAAAGGCCTCCAGTAACGATCATGAAAAGCTTCCAGGGGAGGACTGAGCTATGACTCCAGAGAAGACCGTAGGAAATGAAAGCAGCGCAGACTGGTGCCAAAGCTGATGTGACCCAGAGAAAAGGTTGAAGGAATGACTGTTCGTGGCGGTTGAAAAACATGCCGATTGTCATCTCCATTGCTGGAACGACTACTGATTCGGCAGCTCCAAGAGCGATTCGAAGAACAATAAGACCAGCGTATCTGGTTGCAACGCAGTGAAGAAGGATAGTAGCTCCCCACATGAAGACTAATCCGGCAACGAATTTACCAAAGGGAAGTCTCTGCATGAGATAGTGGCCGGGCCATTGTGCAGCAAGGTATCCTGTGATAGTGTGAGAAAGGTTTTGGCTTGAAGAGGTGATAGAGGGCCTGAAACATACCGACATAGAAAAATGTTCCCAGGTTGTTGTATTGTGCCTTGTTGATACCTGTTTCTTCGAATAGACCGAGAATGGCAGCATATCCGAGAGTTGACTTGTCAATCTGCATTTGTCAGTAAATCCATAGTGGGAGACGCTGGTGAACATACGAATAGAAGCAAATTGATTGCTGATAAGAGTCCCATCACGTGCCAGTATAGCTTCCTTCGCAGCTTCTTCTCCTTCTCAGGAGTCAAGGACCCAAACTCATCGCCATGCTCTTCAACGAGACGAAGGGTAACATCAGCATACTTCTCCGAGACAATAGCTGTCTCTCCCTCCTTCTCCCGGCTTTGAACCCTAGAAAGATCCTTTGAATCTTCTGTGACACCCATATCTGCAGAGGGAAAGATAAAGAACTGGAATGAAGAGCGGATACAGCCGAGTGATCTACATGCGGTAATGGCTTGGCTTTATCTTGGACGGTTGTCAGATATGAGACCACTATCAAATCACATCAGATCGACTCCATAGTTCTAAATTGATTGCACTGACTCACGAATCGCCCTTTTCGTGATGATTTGCACTCCATTGTTACGCCGACCTTTGTTGCGACAACGTGGGGAACGATTGCGTGCTGAGGTCATTGTGTAGCGATAGGTCGATTGCCTGTTTGATATGTCAAGGATTCGGATCCGAGCCGCTGGTAGTTGCACGATGCACGATGCGCCGCATTAGATGCCGCAAAGCCGCAATTTTAACTGAATAGGGAACGCCACACTTGAGGACTCATGGCCGCTGGCTACTGGGAGAATGAATCTGCATGGGACGAAAGAGACAGACTGCCTAGAAACATAGCTTCATCCTACCACAATTCACTTTGCGTGTCGCAGTTGTCACGTTATTCTATTTCTATGAAATCATCGATTGTAATCTTGAACCTGTTGAGATGGTTCATGCAAGACTGTTCACAGCTTCGGGCACAAGCCGACTTGCAAAATCCACTTTACTTATATCGCTAGTGAACTCTATTCCGCGACAATCGAAACCGGTGCCGCACACGGTCCGACAAGTCAAGTATTTCCCAATTCGGTAATATTTCAGCCAAAGGAGAGTCTATAATATCAACATCTATGCATAGATTAGCAATCCTGTCGGAACACTGACCATGGAACACGAATCAGATATTCCCTGTATAGCAAAACTAATACCATATCTAGCCTGAGCATATTCAACAAGGTTAAAGAGTGGACAGTCCTTCATACTCAGCAATAATCTTCTTGTTAGCCCTTCGAAGAATAATTCAACAAGAAGCAAACGCCAAAAGAAGAATCATCGCCCTAGTATACCGTGGTTCATCATTCGAGTCAAGGAAGTAAGGGCCCCAGATGGTTCCCAGCTGATCGGTGACATTAATGATAGCCGTCGCGCAAGCTTCTCCGCCCCAAAAATATCCTACCGGAGTGGATTTGATAGCTGTCTAGCCTGTTAGCATCGATGGCTCTACTAGACTTCCAGTCGATCTTTGAGGATACGCGCTCGCCCTAAGGTTTAGTTGCTGAGCCGCCTCTCGCGAGCTGGTCAGGAACTTGAGGGTATTAAGGATAATTTATTCTCACAGGGCCTTGCCAAGTCCAAGAATACACTCACGCGGTCTTCCCCCGATATCAAACGAAGACCTCGCTTTTTTCAAGTCGCATAGCCTGATAGATTCCCTTCTTAAGATTATCGTTTGGATGAAGTTGTATACAACAGTTTTTCAAAGTGCTCTTGCATTCTCTTTCGCAAAATCAGCCCGACAGTAATCAAATCCATAATATTAATAAACTAGAAAAAAATATTCATCATCATTAAAGCTTGCTACACTTTTCAGGAATAGCAGCGATAGCTTCCATCTCCACATGTGCACCCTTTAGGGGAAGCTGAGCAACAGCTACGCATGTTCGGCTCTGTTCGTCGTTATCAGTACCGAGCCAGCACCTTGTGAAATACGTGACTTACTGGCTTGGGGTCAGAAGTGAAAAACTCGAGGTAAGCTCTGTTGACCTCAGCATAGTGGTCCATGTTCAATATAAAAATGGTAACTTTCAAAGCATTGTGAAGACTTGTTCCCGCTTTGCTGAGAATAGCGTCGAGGTTCTTGAGGGCACCCGCCTATTCTGATGGTTAGGACATAGACTCGGCTCTTAGCTCGGGGACTATGAAAGAGGACATACGGTCTGATGATATGGACCCTCAGCCAGTTGTCGAGTCTGGGGGTCCATACCAAACGAACCGGAGCAGTAGACCGTTCCATTGTGGATAATTGCTTGCGAGAGATGAGGACTCGGTGCAGGTGCATCAGTAGTCAGGATACCGGTTCGAAAAGCCATAGTAAATGTTGTAAGAGTTAAAGGGTCTAGGTCTTAAACAAGGTTATCTAATGATGGGACGGTATTTGTTTGGAGGTTGGGTCGATCCAAGATGGAAATTGTTACTTATAGGTAGTCTACGGTAGGTCAGCCTCCGACGTCCGGAGAGATTTCGGGGAGGCATTTCCATCGAGTCCATACTAAGAATTCAACTTGAATGCATCTGCCCAACAAGATGCCAGCCAAGATGAATCCGTGATAGACCTCCCCGCAGTCTCCACCATCAAAGAAGAATGGAGGTGGATCTCCGTGAGACTAATGCAACTCGATGCCCAATCACGTCTCAACGGACACCTCCCTCCATCGCTTCAGATGCATTCATTTTTGACTACCAAGTGGCGTCCTTGAGATGGGCTTCGGGAAGTGATGGAAACCAAATGGGAATTTGAGAGAAAACGAGATAATTATCAAGAGCCATGACGTGGATCCTGAAGTGCCGATAAGACACCTCATACGAGCGAGATATGTCACCGGCGTCTTCCGAAGTCGAAAAATAAATCTGTAACAATATCCTCTCTTATAAGAGCACTCGGTAGCTCGTCCTCCAAGTCATCCATCCTGACTCAATAGTCTTCGTGTGCTTATTTCTACAATTATCTACCACCACTTCCAAGGATGTCTCAACAAGGCGAAACTATTGTCGTCGTCGGGTAAGTTGAATTTTTCCTTGACTCTGGAGCCATCGAGCTTCCCCCTTCAACAATCAACCCCGTTAAGAACAATCGCTAAAGTATGAAATGAGCAGTGCTGGCGTCATAGGACTATCTACGGCCCTTCGAGTCCAAGAAAAAACTCTTTCTCAGAGCAATCCACCATCCGTTGTTATCATCGCAAGAGATTTCCCCAACGAGACGTCCATAAACTACGCTACACCATGGGCTGGCGCGCATTATCGACCATGCCCAGGGAATACACCTCAGTTACTCCAAGAAGCGGTATGGGCAGAGAAGACATACGATACTCTAGACAGTTGGTCTGAGAAAGACAAACTTGCCGCTGGCGTCGAATTCATGCCCGGAGAAGAGTTCTTCGAAGCCCCAAGGCCTGAATATGTCGATGCTGCCAAGGATGTATCACAGTCGGTGTACGCTCACCTCAAATCGAGTTTTGAGCTTTTCAGCAGCAGTGAATTGAGTGCTATGGGTGACTCCCTGCAACTGGGCTTCCGTTACCGGTCATATTCTCTCAATAGCCCTTTATATGCTTCGTTTTTACAGCGCAGATTTCAGAACAGAGGAGGCAGCGTAAGAAAGTACATACTTGCATCACTGGAAGAGGTCTTCTGGATCGAAAACTCTGTCAAGGCTGTGATCAACTGTTCAGGCATGGGGTTCGGTGACCCGAAAGTATTTCCCATTCGCGGTAAGTGACGAGACATCGAAGCGCCCTTGATTCTATCATTGATCGTCTTTCAGGCCAGACATGCCTTGTGCGGAACCCGATCTCGAAGACCATAACACGCCAAAACTCGGATGGGTCTTGGTCGTTCGCTATTCCTCGACCTTTAGAAGGCGGAACTATCATTGGAGGCACCAAAGAGCCTCATAATTGGGACCCTTACCCTTCAGCTGATACTCGACAAACTCTCTTGTCCAATGCAGCCAAATGGTTCCCTTTCGGCAGTGAGTCCGGTCGCTTCGATGTCGTCAGAGACATTGTTGGTCGTCGGCCAGCGCGTGAAGGTGGCCTTCGCCTAGAACTGGAGCGTTTTAAGCCTGGGGTCGTCGTTCATGCGTATGGTGTTGGCGGTAGAGGTCTTGAGCTATCATGGGGCATTGCAGATGAGGTTGTTAGCTTGCTTCAAAAGCAAGGCTACTTTTCGCCTCGAGCGCATTTGTAGATCAGCCAAAGCCTAGTCCGTCTATCGTTTCTCTCACTGCTTCGAAATGTCAAGGATGGTTGCGCCTCTTAAGAGGTCATTGGTTGATAACAATTATGTATGAAGATAGCGCCAAGTGCAAGTAATTAAGTCAATTCATTATGGAAGTCTCGATTCGCTATGATATTCCCAAATGCAAGTCTATGTCTAAATATTACAAGATGATACGCTTATGAACACTTATCAGGCATAGTCTCAGTAGTGAGGAATTGAACACCTGAAGCAGGGTTGCCACCCAAGACGATGTCAAAGTAGGTGCTCTGTTCTTCGTACATGGTCTTGGCCTGGAACGCTGTAAAGCCAGCGGACTTCTTGCCAGTAGCCTTGAAGTTGGTGATCTCAGTCTGGAACTTGGGAACCATGGAGCCCTTGACTGGTTTCTTGTGGGCGACGCGAAGGGTCAAGGGGTCTTTGGCACGAGCGTCTCGAACCATGGCTGTGACGACGAGAGGTGCGTTGGGGAGTGTCTCGAGCACGGCACACGACTGCTGAAGCTGGAAAAGGACAGTGTCATCGACCTTGTAGCCGCCGGTCTTTTGGTTATCATGGGTGACGGTTGCCTTGGTGGAGGGCTTGACCTCCTGGATCCAGAACTTGGTGAGACCATTCTTGGCGTCGATGGTGGTATCAAATTGGAAGTTGGCAAAGACCTGGCCGGCGCCGGAAGAGGTACCACCCTGGAAAGTCACCTGCTGCGTGGGCACAGTGACCTTCTTGCCGTCTCGGCCAGCGTAGATGAGGTTGATAGCAAGGTCATTGGGGTCACGAATGTTGTTTGTGATCTTGACTCTGACGGAGCCTGTCCAGTGCATCTTTCCTTTACTGTTAAGAGACAGCTCGGTGATGTAAGGGCGGAAATCGTAAGCCTCGAGGACGGGGGTGAGCTGCACACTCTTGGGGACGGTATCGATCATGCGGGTGAGGATATCAGCACACATGCTATTGAAGCCAGCCTTGGTCGAGAGCTTCTTCATGGTAGCCTTGTCGTTATCGAAGATCCTCTTATCAGAGTGGAAGGTCGCGTTCTTTGCAGCAACCAGAGGGTTCTTGGAGGTGCCGGCCAAGTACTCGGTGACAATGCCGTTATGGAAAGAGGTAATGTCCTTCTGGAAAGGCACTGAAGTATCGTTGTTGGGATCAGCCTTGATCTCGACGATCTCGGGAAAGTCAACGCTGTGCACGCCGCCAATAGCATGACCGCAAGCAACCATCGCAGTCATGTCCTCCTTAGTGAAGCCCGCCTTGGTGAAGGCAGAGAAGGTATCCTTCAAGTTGGTCGAAGGCTCAGGAACACCCGATGGACCAGCCTTGTAAGCATCGACTCGGCCAGCACGGAAAGGAATGCTAGGACCCATGCAAGCTCCGACAGCAAGCACTGTGCCGAGGGCTGTGAGGTCAGAAGCGCTCGCGCGAGGGTTGTGGAATCTGCTAAAGAAGCTGAAAGTGTTGTTGAAGGCCTTGCCGGGGTTCTCAGGTCGAGAAGACTCCCAGTAGATGGAAGCATCCAGGCCGCCTGTTCCGGCTTTGGCATCGTGTGTGATGACATCGTGGAAGGCTGTTCGGAGCCATTCGGCCGTGTTCTGTTGTCCCGGGTTATTGCTTCCAAACTCGCAAGGTCTTAGCGCTAAGAATTGTTAGTATTAGCTTGGGACGATGGAATAGATGGTGAGTTCCTTACCATCAGCGAAACCTCTCTTGTTGAACCCTCCTTGCATGTACAGAAGATCTTCGACCTCATCCCATTTTGAGGGCCAGACAAGCTGCGAAGCAGCACTGAATTGAACGAGGGCAAAAGCGAGAGTAATTGAACCTTTCATGATGGGCAGAATTTAGCGAATGTGTGGATATGTTACAAAGCAAATGGCATGATGTCCCTCGCCATCTTATACTACATTTCCATCAAGAGTCCAAGCACAATAACCCAGCAGACGATGTTTCACTTATGGAGCAGAATTGGAGAATACGAGAGCCTGGCTCCCAAATAGTGTAAAACCTATGCATACGGAGTAAATCCAGCCTAGATAGTCCGTCGGGCATTCCGCGTGACTAGGACCGCGGTCGAGACAGCGCGAGATACGAGCTTGAACAAGCCCGAACGAGCCCTACCCATGTGGAGTGCCCCAAAATTTCAGGGCTCGTAAACAAACCGACCAATGGTATTGGCTTGATTTCAATGCAGATCCCCTGAAATTTGCAATTTACCCGCCAAGGCTAGACCGTAGGACTAATTTTAGATGTCGGCAAGGCAATGCCGAACTCCACTAGGAAATTCTGGAAGCACTCTGATCTATTGTGGCTACGCTTTGACCGGAATGCTAGGAACTATTGTAAATAGTGGTTACATTGACTCGGTACGGAGTAGTTCAGTGCTGGATATCCACTAGTTGAATCGTATAGCATTTATCCCTTGGTTGACATAGAGTTTGCTGGGACGGCTCGTCGACCCCAAGTTCTATAATTAAATTTACGCTATGTAAAGGTAATCACGGCGGTTACTGATAGACGAGAGGTTATTTGCACTATATTATCAGGCGCAGTACTATACGAGATAGATCAAAAGTTCTTCTGGTCGCCATTCTTGGGGCATCCTGGCGGTGATCTTTATTTTACAGCAGGGATGGTCAAATTTTATCAGACTAAAATTACAAGAGATACCATGGCACTGAGGTGTTCTGAAAGGTAAATCTGCATAATTACATGAACTTCTGGGTCTCTTTGTTGCTCTAATTTATTACTATTTCTTGAATAGTTCTTTGTCCTGCCCTGAGGCTCCTTGCTCTTTTCGATATCAGTGTTCAACTGGCTACCCTATGCATCTTGGTGGTCAATTCATGTTGAAGCAATTAAATTTTGTCCTTCTTAAGAGTTGATCCTATCATGGGCATTTTATTCTAGGCTGAAGGCTAATTGTAAATCTCTCTTCGACTGTGAAAGCCGTTCAACATTCGGCTGGCCAGTGGAGAGTAAGAATACTCAATACATCTATTCCTAATAACAGGTTGAGGTAAATTTAGTTAAAAATAGTATAGACTAATCTCACTTTCAGTTGAGGTCACACTAGTACCCTAAAATCAGGCCAGAAGTTACTCGCTCTTTGAGGGCTGGTCTTCTTAGATAGAGATATTCTACTGACAGATGATCCCAATTTCGAAAGGCACTGAGTAGAAAACAATGCTGCTGTAACGTCTCAGACAATATTTATTCTGAGTAAAACATGACCTTGATTGCACTGACCAAGGCTTATCCCGCTTTATTTGTTTCTTTACTCTCTCCCTCGGCTTCATCATTCGACCAGTCTCCCTCCGAATCATCATCCTGCACCTGTTCAATCCCTGGTGAACTCTTTGGCTCATCCTCTTCTTCTTCCTTCTCCTCCTCCTCCTCTTCATCATCGTCGACAAACTCTGGACCTCGCTCCTCCCATTTATCATGATACGGATGAAACTCCTCTTTATAACGATAGCACTTGAAACACAACCCGTACGAGAGCTCGCAACCGTCACAGTAGTATAAGATGCCATAGACGTGCTGATAGGTTAGTAAAATGGGTGAAATGATGTCGAGGGAAACTTACAAAGAGGCACAAGTCGCAATACCATGTAGTTCGCGCTGCCTTCTTGGAAACATGTAACTTGGACTTCCAGTCATCTTCCTTCTTCTTGCTAGGACTTGCTGTTAACAAGTCTATGACCTCTTGTGATGCACCATGGAACCTGGCCATCTTGAGCGGCGACCATTCTCTGTCATCGGAGGTCCGCCCTCGAACCGATGGGTCTGCTCCACGATCCAGCAGAAGCTTCACGATTTCAGGACTGATTTCCTTGGGTGTCCCCCAACTTTCACAAATGCGACATGCCCATAGCAGAGGCGTCCAACCATCGTCATCAGGCTCATTGATAGATATTGTGCCACTGGTATGAGAGAGCACCAGTTCGACAAGATCAGATCTTCCCGTTGCTACAGCAAAATGTAGCACTGTCAGGCCAGACTTGGCCTTTGTAGTAATGCCAAGACGTTCTTCATCATCGCCACTTGCCTCGAATAATAGCTGGAAATGCTGAACTGTCTTCAAGGCTGCATAGTGTATCGGCCGTCGACCGTGGAGATCTTGCCACCCAATATCAGCACCTTTCTCCAGAATGAGCTTGATCATGTCTAGAGACGAGTCACAGGGCCAAGAAAGCGAACACGCCGGATCAAGGCCCAAAGGAGGACTGGAGCATGTTGTTGGGAGAAGCCGCACCTCTCAACAAGGCAAAGACGGCCACGGAGGGCTACATCGAGCGCCTGATAATCCCCATGCACCAGGATCAGCGCAGACTGAAGTATTGTCTTCAAACCGCACTTCTAATGAAAGTGCACGTCATGCAACCGTGAATAGAAACTCACCCATCGAAGTCCCCGAGGGCTTCAAGCCCATACAGAGACGACAAACGGGTATGGACGACGTTTGTGAAGCAGGCCCAGGACGACAAACGCAAGAGCGAATACGCAGAAAAGATTCGCCAGGCAGTCAAACTACATTATCTTCGGACTACTCTGACGATCAATTCAAAGCCTGCTAGTAGGTATCAGCTCAAAGCTGTCAAGTTTCTCCATGGCGCGAATCTAAACAGTGAGACAGAATCCACAATGCTCCTGGCATATGCTAACTCTTGGCTTCAGACATCAACCTGTGCTTCGACTACTCTGAGGCACCACCGGAGATCTATGAGGATTCCTTCAAGCAAAGTTATGATCACATCAACTTCGACCAAGTCCTACGCTACGTTTCATTCCGAAGAATCGAGCTCCAGAAACCCCCTGTGTCAGCTGTAAAAGCAAGACTGACTAGGAACCGAGCCCAGACATCGAATAAAGGACGCGGCAGGGATGACTTGACTGTTTTCTTCAACTGGCTGAAGGGAAAGGGGGTCAAGCATATCCTCAAAGTGATGGTAGATGACCTGAAAGACCCATCGCATAGCGACAAGGCACTCGAGGATTGTCTGAGACCTTTCGAGGTGGAGATTCTCGACTGGACGAAGGTCGACCTGTGTCCTGAGACTATCCTAACTGCTTGCCGAAATGTGAGACAGCTGTATCTTCGATGGAGCGGTAACAGAGCGATCTTACGGGCTTGGAGTGAGCCTGAAGGGCTGGCGAAGCTGGAAAATCTAGAGGCGGTACATCTTGTATACAGTGAAGATCAGGTATGTGTTGTTTCTAGCCATGACGCTAGGATCGTATTGACGTTGGACATATGACAGGCGTTGGAGTCGGCCGATCGCATCACCATGTACGCCAATGACTTCGAAGAGCGATTGAACGAGTCAGCAGCCGCGAACCCAAGAAGGATTGTCCCAACAGACGGAGAAGATGCTGAGCAGGGAAGACGTATACTCGTCTTCAGGTGCAAGGCAGACGTTCCGGGAGTGAAAGAATTGTTAGAGAGGGGGCATTCGCAAAGGCTCAAAGCGGCATCAATGAGATGAATCTACAGTCTAACAGATGGCTAAACTGTATGGACAAGTTTGCCGACGAACTAAAAAACACTTGTTCCGAGTTTGTCAAGCCTCAGAATGGCATCAAGGTAGCCCTAATCGACGATGGTGCCGACCCATATGTTGAGTCTCTTCGGGGTAAGATCTGGGGTGGAGAGACGTTCAGCAGAGGCTTTCCGCACGAGAACGGTCCAAGTCCTTACTATAGGTCTACAAAGGGCCATGGAACTGTGATGGCGGACATGATATGCCGGGTCTGTCCGATGGCGAGGTTGTATGTGTACAAGCTTGAGACGCAGACGAGTCTCAACTTGGCGACGCAGACTCATGGCAAGGAGTACATTGCTGCAGAGAGTGCGGCTTTGGTGAGTCCCGGTTCGGTAATATGGGCCGTGCATCTCAACTAACATAAAACAGGCTGTCAGAGCAGCGATAGGTCAGAAGGTGGACATCATCTCAATGTCTTGGACGGTCAAAGAAACAGTCGAGAATCGCGATGGCGTCAACACCTTCCGCCAAGCCATAAAGGACGCCCTCGACGCCGGGATCCTCCTCTTCTGCGCCGCCGCCGACACTGGTGCCATCACAGAAGTCGAGTACCCATGGTCTTTCGACCGGCAACGCATCTTCCGCATCGGAGCAGCCACAGCAGATGGTCGCGTATGGGGCCCAACTGGTAGCCCTCAGCATTTAAGTTTCATTTTACCCGGCCACAAGGTAGTATCGCGAAATCCGCACCGAGAGGGGGCGTTACCAGATGACTTTGAGGAACGCACCGGTTCGTCCGTGGCTACGGCTTTGGCAGCTGGTCTAGCAGCACTCATTCTTCACTGCGTCAACCTTGCTGTTGTTCATGGTAAGGAACATCCGTCTACTACTGCTGTTAGCGGCGAAGATCTTGAGAGGCTTGCGAATCACGATGATATGTATAATGTGCTTCGTGGTATCGGGCTAGATGAGGGACAGCAGCGGTTCATCGAGGTTTGGCGACGGTTTGATCGCCCTGCGAAGGAGCTGAAGGAGCCGATGAGTGAAAAGATGGATGCTCTTGGTATTGTGGCTAGACTGGCTCGAGATCTTGTTCCTAGTGGGAGTAGCTAGTCCTGCACCAGGCTAAGATCAGGTCGGGAAGATGAGGCACCGGTTCACGACAGAACATCGTCTCGCACAAAAATAGTCGACTTATCTAATAAATTTGCACCCCCTTTCTCCTTTTCGGCGTAACTAATACAAATATCTGCTGGCAAAGATCAAACCCAAGTTGTACCCCACATTCCACTTGCATACTTATGCGTCCGGATCTTGCGTCTCCCATCAGGCAACACTTCCACATACTCATTCAGTCCCGGCCTATATCCAAGTTCCTTCTGCTTCTGTTTGGCAACCTTATCAGCCTCCTTCTCTGCAGCAGTCGGTGGCCGAGTCGGTAAAGTCAGTCCAGATCTACGAGCATCCTCAACTGCAAGACAGAAGCCTAGGTCATCTTGTATTTGCAGTAGAGTTTCCGCAGATAATGAAGAGATTTGTTTCTGCATAGGAGTCAAACTTGATGAAGAGGACGCCGTCGGTAAAGGTTTTGTGTAGACGAATTCTGGGAGATCGTCGCGAATGCGCTCGCAGGTCCAGCAATGGCAGTGCTCTTGCATGGGAGATGGGTCATCCATATCGAAAAGAATCTTCGCATCTCGTTTGAGGTCCTGTCCCTGAGTTTGCTCTGACTGGATGCCTCCTATTTCTTTCAGGAAAGCCTTGTACTGTCGTGGAAACAAGCGATGCGTCCTCCAAAAGAGCCTAACTCCGAAGGACTGGTGGCAAACCATGTCCTCTTCCACTGCATTGGGTTCCCTCAAGTGAAAGTCGAGGTACTCCAAGCCCGCTCGGATGAGTGACCCTTGTAAAGCAGGTGAGCGTATCCACAGGAGCTTATTAGACTCTTGGATAATGTCTTCATGCCTTTTGACTTCGCTGAATAAATCTGTTTCGATACGCACTTTGCCGGTGTCGGTATATGCCGGGGGACTCTGTAAATACTCAAGAATATCGCATGGTTGAGACGTGATATTAGTGAACAGCTTCTGGGCGGAGCGAGGAAGTCCAAGCTGCATCTTATCCATATCGATGACATCGCGGATGGCGGGCCAAGGGAAGCAAAGGTTTTTGAGTCGCGTAGCATTGGCACCCTGGGCGTTGCAAGCAGCCTCATAAGCCTTCGGGTTCAGCATAAGTGCGTACCATACTAGTAGTATGTCCAATGGTGGGAGATAGTCCTTGGTGAGCTGAAGAGCAGCACGACTGCCGCCATGATGCGAGTAGGCGTTGGCGTGGTTCAGCAATAGCTCAATGCCAGACCACCAAGTTGTAAATCGTGTAACTGCGAGTTTTATGAGGAGGTCCCATTTTTGGGATGCGGGAAGCTGCGTTGGCTCTGATGCTGATGCTGGCACTGGGCTCTTGGTGTCATCGTATGCAGGTGGTTGGATGACCTCAATGCTAAGAGCGCCCGCGCTAGCCTTGAGGTTGCGAAAACACTCAAGCAGAGCCAGATGCACAGCAGCATGACTTGCGTCAGGGTAGGCCAATAGAGTCTCAATACTTTGTCCTTCCATTTCGCAGGGAATCGAAAACACGTTGGAAAAGACTCTTGGGTCGGGAATGATGGTTTGTTTACCATCTGCTTGAGAGGGCTTGTATGACGATGGCAATGTCCAGGTGTGCGGGTCCAGATTGACCGCTTGGTCCACGACCTTTGCGCCGCTGCGGAAGTTTTTAAACAGCGGCATCGAGAAACCGTTGCATATCGAGATGAAGGGAAAGTTTGAATGACGAGCCAGTGAAAGATGCAAAAAGATGCATGTGGTATAAAGAGGGAAATTAACTGTTAACTAGGTAGCCTTTCACTCCGCCTTGAATTCCTTGCGCCTCATTCTGGGGCGCATGAAGCTAAGCCACCCAACTCTAAAAGCTTAATTCAGATAGGTAAGCTGTGATGCGATTCTAGAATTAATAGATAGGTACCTACCTAGACATTATTCCTTCCAGTAAAAAAGGCATGGAGTATCTTTGCAGCCTCCTCCGAATCATCCTTTCCTCGAATTTGATCCAAGGCAGCATGTGTTTGCTCAGGTGTGAATCCCCTTTCAGGAGTATAGAAATATTTAATCGTCTCCGTTGAAATCTCCTCGCTAAATTCAAAATGACCCTGAAATGTCAAAACACGTCCTGGTTGAAAGATTCCCTGCACGGCGCAATGCGGCGTGCTTCCTATCGATATCCACGACTCGGGCCATGATGCTTCAAATCGAACATGATCGCCATGAGCGAACTGGATCCGTAATCCGTCCCCCTCTGGCAGGCTTAGAACATGGTCGAAATGAGCTGCGAATTTTGGGTTCAGGGCAACTTTGTGGATGCCGACTTCATAGCCCTTTGGATCTTTCTCGACAATCACTCCGTATCTTTCGAGCAGGGCTTCAGAGATGATTTGGTGCCCGAAGCAAGCTCCGAATAGACGCACATGTTGATGATTCTGGTAGACTTCTTGAATGAAAGTTTTCAACCTCGCAATCCATGGGTCCTCGTCATAGACACCTTTGACAGAACCTGTGATCAGGAAGGCGTCAAAGTCATTCGGATCAGGATATTCGTCTTTGATGATGTCGAATGCAGAAATCTGAAGAACCTTATCAGACCCCAGTGTCTTGTTGACAGCTTTCAACCGATGGGCAAAGATACCGCTATAGGTAGGTCCCCAAGTTTCGGCGACTTTGGGTACGACGTAGTCGCAATCCAGAATGGCGACCCGTACAGGTTGTTGGAGTCGACTTTTCACAGTCATCTTCGCCAAGGGAGGCAGAAGGCCAACCAGTATTCCAATTTCGATTTTGGAGAAAGAACAATGAACTTAAACCAGTTGAGGATGAAGCTTTGGAATACGGTAGATAAGGACTATCTTATAATGTCCGCCTGATCATGAACTGCAGCCGATGCACCCCCACTCACTATTTTTACCAAATCTGGAAGGTTTTAGAGACTCTTGGTGTGACTAGTCCTATCTGATGCTACCATGAAGTGGGTGTTCCCCATCGTTATCGGCTACATGCCGACCTATGCCGAAGTACTCAGGATAACCTCCGACTAACAGATCCAACCTCCATCAACGTTGTAAACAGCTCCAGTGACGAAACTGGCCTCATCACTGAAGGGAAAAGCGATAACATGTGCACTTTCGTGGCTGCTACTCCTGCTTCTACTGTTTCGGCCATTCCTTCACCTTCCATCATGGGTGTTCGAACACTGCCTGTTAACGATAGCCGTCAGAAACGCGATAGTCCGACGTGAGGTGGCTGTATGATTTTTCAGATGGATTGAGACGTACCTGGTTCCACACAGTTGATGCGAATATTCTCGTTTTTCTTTGCAGCAGAGCGAGACATGCGAAAACAACATGCTTGCTTGCACAACATATAGAGGCATTAGCAAAGCTAGCCTGGCCATCAACACTAGCTGCCGATACCTACAGACGCAGAAGCTTCCAGTTTCCAAAGAAGACGTGGATCGATATCCGCGATGCTTCCTCCAGACTTGATATAATTTATCTCTGCTCTCAAGCAATTGAAAACATTGCGAGCATTTATTCCCATGATAAAGTCCCGCTATTATCTGTCTCATCACGAAGACAGGTACCGTGTGTGAAGACGCCAGCCATATTGACAGCACCTTAAGCTTGCCAAAGACTGAAACGGTCTTTTCGATCCATGCATTTACTTGTTGGCTGTCACGCACATCGACTTGGGTGATGATGTGCCCATCACCAGGAAGAGACTCGAGAGCAGCCTCAAGGCCTGCTTTGTCCATGTCGGCGAGCGAGAGTTGGGCACGGCGACTTGCTAGGAGCTTAGCAACTGCAAAGCCGATACCAGATGCTGCACCAGTGACTGCGATCTCCATTATTGAGGTTAGATTCTTGGTTTCAAACAGCGAGAGTTCTTGATATACATACCACCTTGCCTTTGATCTTGCTTGAGCTCCATTGGGCCATCAAAGGCGCTTGTGGCTTCGAGTTCCTCTGGAAGGAGGCTCGCTCATAAAGAGCTCTTGTTCTCTACGAAAATGGTCTTCATCCCGCTTCTGTCGTTCTTGATGACGCAAATCCTGGCGCTCATCCTCGGAGTCCTGGATCTCTGCATCCTATGCAAACATTGGGGAAGGGGAGCGAGGAGGGAAGACATCTAGACCCCTGGGCTCATCACTCAGGGGTTCATTCACCGCCTGAGGAGATGCCTCAGTGGCCACAAGGCTTGGTAGTTCTTCAGTATCTAGTAGTACATAGTCAGTGAAGCTCTGTTAAATTGCCTGAGTAACTAATACTTACTATCAGAGCTGCCAACAGGCGCCGTGACTTCATCAATGGGGGCAAAAGAAGCATCGAGATCCTAATAACTGTAAAGAAATGTATATACCACTAGGGTTGCTTACTTACGAGGTGAGCAGTGGTCTCAAGATGTTTCTTCAGACCACTTCGGTTCTCCCACACCTCCCCGTACCAGGGACACCCAACCACACGGCACGCATTTCCCTCCAGCGACCAATCGATCTCCGAATTTTGCAGCTGCTCGTAAAGAGCACCAAAGTAGACTCGGCGCGCGTTCTCAGCCATGATTGGCCCTTGACTAATCTCCAGAGCTTGAAGCTCTTCCCCTACATAGCTATTAGTAAATAACTTTAATAGGATTTAATAGAATCAATTAATGCTAAGTAAACACACAAGGAGTGTCATCGCCCGAAGGCGGCTCTTCAGAGTCTGGTAACTCGAAGTTCGGCTCTGTCTCGACAGGGGGTTCAATATCCGGCCACTCAGATCCAGTTCCAGTGTCCATGGTAGCAGTAACGATTTGTATATAGAAAATTGCAATTAAAAACTTAGAAACAGAAAGTTCGATCGGCCAGCGTTTCTGTAGCATGAATGGAACTGCAAAATTTTCTTTTCTTTGCGTGCACTCGTTGAGGTTGACCGGTGTCTGGCTCCTTCCTCACTTGAGATGCGCACCAACGGTACGTACCACCAATGTCTCTACCGTACACAGAATAAGGCCATCTTCAGAAATGAGAGATAGGAGTCTTATAAAAGTTAAAAGAAGTATTTAATAACTTATAGATTTAATGCTTCATCTCTTTCCATTTTGGTCAACCCTACAGTCTCTATTTACCCTGGCATCTACCAGGAACAAATCGTGCCAAGCCGGACTGTTTTCATTGCTCTCACAGTAATTACTAATTTTCCATGCATTCATCTGAAACTACCTGATCTAGCTCTTTCCCCAGAGATAATACATTTACCGAGACTGCGATGCCAAGTCAAGTACCGTCACCATGTGTTTGTTCCCCAAAAGACATATCTATGCCCAGCACCTCATTCCTCATTTGACTCAGGTACCTCCCCCTGAGCCTCATCTCTCTCAGCAGCCTCAACGTCCTCATCCTCCTCGGAAACCCCGAATCTCTCTTCAAACGGCTCCGGCACAAGATCATCCGCATCGAGCTCCTCGTTGGATAAATCGCGACGATAGATGAGCCACCGGAAAGGTCCGTCAGGATACACAGACAAGCCGTAGTTCACATGTCTCGAGGGCTGCCGGTTGCCGAAAAGACGTGGGTGTTGACTCAGAGCAGTAAAAGTGCAAGGACGGTTGAAAAGAGAGCAAGCTTTACAGCACCCATGGGGATGTGATGGATCAGGCTCACACACGCTGATATAGCCGCGACGTGCAGAAGCAAGCGTACAGGTATCGCAATTGCGCCGTCTCCCTGCCTTAACCAATTGTCCAGAGCTTCGAGCATCAGCATTAGTGTATATCATGACTGGATCATCTGCTGTAGGTGCTTGAACAAGAACTCGAGTCACATCACAAGAGAACTGTCGAACCATGAGGTTATAGTTCTGTTGCCAATCTGATCTGGCTGGGACAGGACTCGAGACTCGGACCTGGCGCTCTAAGCGGTATTCTTGGAGTAAGTGGTTGGTCTTCATGACTGAGATGTCTTGGCTCGCAATGGTAACTCTCCTAGGGAAGCCATCCAATAGCCCTGTGTAGTCTATGCCTCTAAGAGCTTGGATGATCATCATGCCATCTCGATATGGCTTCAAGCAAGCTTCCACGTCGCCTGTTCTGGCAAGTCTGGCTAGATCGATGTATGGACCTTTTGCTAAGGCGACTTTACACCATCTTCCAGAGGATTTATTAAACCATTCCAGATGCACTCCAAAGCTCGATGCTTGGTTGAAGTTCTTGAACGGTCCGACAGAAGGTACACCCATGTAAGGGCGAGGATGTGGTTTGTCGTCATCCATGATCTCAAACACAAGATAGCCATACCTGGGTCGTTGAGCGTTGAGCGTGTTGTTCTTGACTCTGGAAAAGAATACCTGCTTCCTCGTGTCCGTATCGCTATAGTGGCTGTGGAAATACAACTGAACCTGAGCCATGCCGATCGAGTACACCAGTGTTCGTCGGATGCGGTAGCTAGTGAAGGATCTGGCATTTGGATTCCCAGGAGCCATAGGGATGGATAGAAACGGACAATTTGATCTGTAAGTTTCAAAAATCGGGCTTGCCGTATTCAAACCTCGACCATTGATGAGTGGCCAACCTGTTGTAGAAGCGGCTCTTCTCTGGAAAGAGGCAAGCAGTTTTGCGCATCGTGAGTTCACCACTTGGCCTGAAGACATGTGGTCATCTGGAACGAAAAGGTATCGCTGATACGACCTCAGTAGAAGGATCATAGTTTGCTCTGCCATTTTAAGAATGTGTGATGAAACATCTCCATCCTCCCAAATCATAATTGGAATCGTATGGCGGTCTTCTGGAGAACACTTCAGGGCAAACATCATATGAGGACTTCGGCTCCCGGGAACCATTGTGCGTTCGTATGCATAGAGTCGATTTCGGAGGTTACGAGTTTGCCCAAAGTACATGCCAACATTTCCGTTAATGTCCGCTTGCGACGTGTCTGAGTAGGGTCCAGGTCTGTCGTTTCGCTTAATGTAAATTCTGAGATAGATACAACTAGCTTGGTTGCTTGGCCAGTCCGCGGAATAATGTCGAAGGTCGGTAAGGTCTCTCAAAGAGAATTCACCAGACTGCAGAACTTCCCGAACTTCTGGGAGAAGAGCATTGGTGATAGAGTCGACATTGTCTCTGGGCGTGGTGAAATACCCAACAATGTCTTCTTCGGGCATAAGAAGCTCTCGAAGCTTTCGCAGTGACTCTGGCTGCGAGGTGAGATTCCAAAGTGTCCGGACTGTCTGATCAAACAGATTGTCGGCCTGCTGGGGTTTCAAGTCTATGACTGGTGCCTCCAACAAAGGAACATTGTCGGCCGTCTTGTCAGCAAGGGTTCTAAAGGCTGAACCTTGGCGGAGAAATATCATGGGCACTATGGCTACGTCGGTTGTTAGTGAAATTCATACCAAAGGATACCCTGTCAAGATTGACATACCAAAGACTTGAATGTGTCCTTTCATGAATAGTACCATGCCATGTGTAAGCCGAGGGTTGATGGAAACGATAAAGCCTTGTTCTTTAGCATACAAACGAAGCTTTCCGTCAGTCTTGAGTTGATTGGGGGTAGCGCCTCGAAGATTCTGTGGGATATGTGGTGCGGAATCGTCGTAGGCGTATCGCTCCGCCATCTCAACGGCGTGATAGAGTTTCTCGGATCCAGAAGGATATGGAACATCTGGTTTCTCTGCGAAAAGAAGCTGGTCGATGGTAGTACTGGAAATTGAAACCGACGTGGCGACTGCGCGGTCTCTGGACACGAGCTGGACGACAGTGGGCCTGGAAGTTGATGCTGCCATCGTGGATGGACGGCAGTCAAAGGTAAAGAAGATGTGCTTATGATAGTCAGTCCAGATGATGAGTAGCCTTGGGCTCAAAGAAATAGTGGTGATGAGTGGTGAAGAACGAAGTGTGAAAGGAGGAGGATCTTAGGCCGGTACTTATAGTTGAATTTCCTTGGCCATGTAACCAGCTCAGCGAAGAAGTTCACAACGATTCAGTACTTTGAGTTGACTCATTGCTGGACGTTTGTCACTGACAAAAGTTCGCTAATGACTGTATCTATTGTGACAAATGCTCTTTTCAGCAGTGACAAACAAGGTTTATTACACTGTCATCATCAGGCTTTCGTAGGCATTATCGGTGATTGTTGAGGCCCTTTGTGTGCCATCCGTTGGATATTGTATGATAAATCAATGCTAAAAGTGATTCATTGATATGTGTTTGTTAGTGACAAATGCTCTCTTGTGACTATGTCTATTGTGACAAATGCTCTTTTCAACAGTGACAAACGAGGTTTATTACGCCATGATTGCCTGGCTTCGTAAGCTTTGTCTGTGATTGCCGAGGCTCTTCACTCATGTGCCTCATTCATTGGAGATTGTCCAATGATCTAATGTTAGAGTTGACTAATTGATATGGGTTTGTCCGTGACAAACGCTCGCTTTCACAGTGACCATTTGTCATTTGCTCCTCGCAGCGATACCAAAGGTTTGCTTCGCCATACTCACCATACTGGTTTGGCCACTGACAGCGCTTGATGACGTTACCATGTAATTGTTCTTAATTAAGATTTCGCAGTAGTAAGATATCATTCAGCCACCAAACCTTCGTTCATTTTGCTCCCATTCTTGAGGGTTGTTGTAGTCCGCATAATACCCAGTCCGGTTAGACATCACATTCTTCTTGAGACGACTCCAGCATCTTGTGACTCCGATTCTTGGCACAATTCCGATGAATGAGGGGATTAGGATAATTATGACAATCCAGTGGTCAATTTGGACAATCGAATTGATAATATCCAAAGGCCAGCGCTGAGAGCATTTTAGGGTAGTCAAGTCAAATGCTGGTTTGGTTCGTGGGCCCTTGAAGATAAGATAAGATAAGATAACATCCTGGACTTTCTTATCTTTGTTGGCTTCTGATAATGGCCAGCAGTGTGCAGTGGTACTTGGTAGTAAAGAACGTAGATGCGTATCACCGGAGTCATGATTTATCAGAAATACATCAGCGTTATGGTCTAATTAAAATTATCTTTCATTCCTCAAAGAATTGCTTAGGTTGCCGTATCAGCGATTGGATACGTCTGTCTTGAAGCATCTATGTATAAGTCTTTGATATCATGGTGGAACTGCCCATGTACCCGACGGGCCAGCGAAGTCATGATACTCCTGGTCAGTAACTCGGGCGTCTTGTCTTTATGCTGCCAGTTATGGCTGACAAAAACGCCCTTGCACTTACCACCACCATCCAATGTAAACTCGTTACCATTGGCGTGATTGCACGGGATGTTTTTCACGTCGTGCGTTCTATTGAACTCATACCGGATATAGTACGAAAAAGCGCTCTGCTCGTGTGCCCATTGGTGGTTCCAATGGTCGCAGCCATGTATACTCCTTGGGCAATCTTCCCAGCGTCGAAACATATCTTGGGTGCGCTGACTTGCCTGTGCAATGGCGAATCCCGTATTGAGGATAAGATTGCCTTGAGGATCGTAGTCTTGTTTCCAGTCAAGGTCGTAAGCCATGGCGACCAAGGTTTCTGGGCGGTAATCCCAGAGGTTCATGAGCCATTCTAGTGGGAGGTCGAGATGGGTAAACACGGCGTCTGAGTCTAGCGAGACGACGAACTCATGGGTCTTCAGAGCCTCTTTGGTGATGGCTGGCTTTACCCAAGTTCCGTGTCGATCGGGATAGGCGGCTGCACGGACTAGTCGGTAATCGTAGCCGTGAATCATAGCTAACCCACCAGCGTCAGCAGAGCATCATGCACCAAAGTTGATAGACTGTACCATATATATAGTGGTTTAAGTGACCTCCAGTCTGCCCCGGCAATGTTGTAAAGTTCAACGGACATTCGTTCAACATTGTGTTCTCGGTTTTGCTATCAAGCCGATTATCTGTATCGACGATAACGACCCGTTTCCCTAGTGGCTTCTTCCATCGGACTTGATCAATTGGTACTTCGAAACGTTCTCCCTTGTCGGTGACGAACACTCTCTCCGTGATAGGATGTATGAGGGGTTTCCATAACTCTGCCATCAGCTTCGGCAGAGCCAATCTCCCGGTCCAAATGCCATGCTGCTGATATGCTTCCGGTCGAAGGCTTTTATGACAATTGGCACTGAAGGTATCTGTTGTTTGAGGAGAGTCAGGGTTAGATGGAGAGACGATGGGATTCCTATGCGATACATTGTCATTAGCATCGCAAGTGGAAGATCTTTTTCGTGCAGACTAGTGGCCAGTGTACTTACAACGGATAAAATGAAGAGACGGGAAAGCAGAGAAAGATAAGGAAAGCTGTGAGGCTAACAAACGAGCAGATCCATACGGCTCGCTTGGGAGCGTTCAAGACTCCCATCTTTACTCCATTTTGAGCACCAAAGAATTGAAAGCCCATTTTGAAGACTGCGAGACGAGAACCGACGAACTGGACATGACGTGACGACAGCGAAGCTCAACGATTTATAGATGGCACTTGGACCAGGTCTCGCGGGGCTAAAGCATGATTCGTACCTTCCTGATCAATCAAGGCCCGATGCTACTTTCCCTACTTGTAAGGGAGGATAGGCGAAACGTTGATCTACGTACCTTACCTAATCAAGTGGAAGCATCGCTGTCACTCAAATGCTATTTGGCCAATAACCGTGATTCTTACTGCAGATTTTCCAAAGTATACGAGAAGGTTAATTTCCGTTTGGGTTTGGTCTCGAGGGGAAGATTGTTCTAGACCTGTCGAATAAAGTTTTGGCAGTTGGCCCTTGGAATGTTACACAAGGTTAAGATTAAGAACCAACAGCCAGCCCATGCAAGGGCAAAGAGAGTAAAAGAAACCTCAGACTTTTGTTCTAAGTGAAGGAGAGACTTGGGAAATTGTAGTATATCTTTGTAATCCTTATGACTAGTTTATCTTAGCACCTTGATTTAATGTCCGTTCTCCATGATACCGGGATAAGAGAGCTAGTAGAGAAATACACCCTTCGCTGCCTTGGCGTTTCAAACAGGTCTAATTACACTCGCACGTCAAGAGATCCAACGCAGGCCATGATTCGTAACCTGGTCTTTCCTTGTTGATCAGATCTCCCTTCCGACGACATTCGTCAACCTGTCGCGACCGATAATAAACAGTGGACCAATGGTCAGTAAAAAGGGCGTCATGATATGGGAATCTCGGTTCATTGGCCTAGGATATGATGCAGATAAGCCTCCCTTTTTACGCGTCAGGGTCGAGGCGTAACGTCGAAGGATCCAGTAGCGTGGTAGGAAAAAGTTGCTTTTACGCAAAGGCCAATCAGATACCCCAGGCACTGGGCCAAGTAAACTTCAGGGCCGAATAAGGTTAAAGGGCTAATAGCCCTGCATTTAATCTATCTCTCCTGACTGTATTCTTAAAAAAATCGTCAAAATCTCATAAATGATGAAGGGTCTTTTTTCTGATCTTCAGTCTCACGGTTTTTCCTAGTCGTAATGTGCTGTTCCATTTCGACAAATGAGATGCTACTTCGGTGTATGACTCGGCCAACGTCATATTCAAGCTGTATATTAACATTTGGCAATAAAGTCACGTCTTTCATGGCCATGGGTATTTTCGAGACAAGAAAGCCTCTTCACATAAACTCAATATACCGAAAAAAACTCAAGCATAAAGCCTAAAGATCTACACTTAAATCCATCTTAACCCACCCAACTTTGACCAAGTCTTTTCGTCCTTTAGGATCGCAGTCTTGCCACAGTTGGCATTTATCTCAGGTATTCTACAGTACCTTGATCAGAATATGGCTCCAGATACTTTCCCAAAATTCCTCCAACTCCCCAAAGAGATTCAGATCCTCATCTGGGAAGCCGCAGTCCGCCCAGTCCCAGGCAATCGCCATGTTCACCGATTCTCCATCGCCGACTATCGTGTACCCCAGCCGACTCCCACTAGACCGATAAAAGGGAGATTTCTGCGCTTGATGCACAATAAGAATTTCGATTACGACTCTTTGAACATTGCTTCAGGGCTATCGCTAGCCATCCCAACTGATGATGTCGCGGGCAATCCAAATGACTCAGTCTGCCTGACAGACAGCTCTCTCTGGACTGTTTGCAGGGAATCGCGCCGAGCGATGGAAAGACACTTCGCTAAGAATGAATGGTGGTCGCACATCAAGTCTCCCTTTCATCCGAAACGTACAGCAGAACCAGGCCAATATGATGGTCAAAAAGGTGCCGCTCATACAGCATCTTACCAAGACATCGATGGTATCGTCAAGCATATCACAATAGATCCAGACAACGATCTCGTTCATCTTGATCCTCGATGGCTTGAACATGTGGATTGGTTGAATATTGGCGACAGTGGCTTTTTATCTCTAGTCGACGAAACCCCCTCCCTTGAAAGATCAGGATTCAGCTTCCTAGGGAGCAACATTGCGATGGATTATGACCCCTCGGTTTTCCATTACGTCAACGACCACAAGTTCCACTACAACCAGATAGGATTGGGGATGGATTCTGCAACTTTTCAAGACATGATCACTTATCTCACCGAGATTGCCGAGGTCACGGTATGGTTTATCGATTACAGCTTGGTACGGGCACAACATATCACAAGTAATTTAGAAGAGGGCAGAAGACAGCAAGACAGGAACGCTCATACCCGAAGGGTGATCTTCCGTTCAAACGATTTCATTTACACGGAAGTCGAAAGAGAAGACATCGGCACCTCGTGGATCCCAAGCAACAGCGATGATGAAGTTAACAGTGGCAAGAAGGAGACTGCTTTTGATATGTTGGACACTCTATCTCTCATCCTGTCCGATGATAATCTCGGTACTTTTCGGGTTCTAGCCTGTGAATCAGTGGTAGGAAGAATGCCTCAGCCGCGCATACCGTGGGCACAGAGATGCGCTTGTTATCCCGATATTCTTGTGCCTCGTATGCCCCCATCAACTATCAAGAGAGAAGGATCCGAGAGTTCATCAGATATTTCCAGCTCAGACTTGATAGCTCAGACTTGAATCTCTTTGATTAAAGAGGTCAGACGAAAAGATGTCGGATATCCATTCTAAGGAATTGAAAGTCTTGGTTGAATTTAGTGTAATTTAGTCTTGACTCAATAGACCTTAGACTACATGCTTTTGTTACCTTGACCCTCTGTCAGAAGTTTTCTTGCTCGCCGGGGGACTGAGATAAATGCGGCGTGGCCAACTCACCATTATAGCTGTAATCTGCGTTCAAAGTTCTCGACTATGGCAATACTAAGCACAATGAACTTCACAAAGGATCAGGAATACTAGCAAGCATATGAAATAGCATCAAAAGGATTAGTGAAAGGTTGCTTGGAGATGATGCTTGCTTTCTTGGTTGCCGTGTTCTGGCCCCACTATAGTCATCCAGCCGGTTTGCCGCGCGGTTGTCACCATAAGCTGACGAGTTTGGTGACATGATTATCAATCATATTTGGCCGATCAGATATCATGGTATGATATGCTTATATATCATGCTTAGAAACATTTCATAAATTGCCTGGACACCTCATTCTGTTTGCAAGAGTTAGAATGAAACCTCCATCTTCACGCATCTTGCGTCTTGGGCCACACAGACCGCATCTCATCCCAAGGCAGAATATTGTTCGATCTTTCGACATATCTTTCACCAGGAACTTTTCTTCCTTAAATATCAGAAACATGGGTGACCAGGTAAATCTTCATGCCATGATGGTAATAGCGATAGTCCAATGACTAATATCACAAAAGCCGGATGAGATCAGGCTCAAGCCAAACAAGGACGGTTCTTTCATTCGGCCTGACAGCGCCTTTCGCCGTTTCATATCAAAGGATCAAAACTCTCAGTTTCCGGCTGAGGAAGCTCGTTATGTTCTGTATTTGAGCCCTGGATGTCCATGGGTAAGTCGTCGCTAAGCTATGCCTTTCCAGTACTGACGACGACAGTCTCATCGCGCCATGATCGTTAGAAGCCTCAAGAAACTTGAGGATGTAATCGATCTGTACATCTGCTCGCTCACTATGGGCAAAGACGGTTGGCACTTCGATGATAGCCCAGAAGCTGCCAAGTATGGTGTGCTCCCCAAGGATCCACTATATGGACTCGACACGTTGAAGCAACTATATCTCAAGGCCAACCCAAATTATGAGGGTCGTTACACCGTGCCCGTCCTTTGGGATAAGAAGACTCACACCATGGTGAGCAACGAGTCGAGCGACATCATTCGGATGCTCTACACGGAGTTCGACCACTTTCTTCCCGAGGAAGATCGTGAAAGTCACAAACTTGGAAGCCAACTCTACCCGGAGCGCTTGAGAGACAAGATCGATGAGATCAACGAATGGGTTTACGACACTGTCAATAACGGTGTTTATAAGACTGGCTTCGCAACAACTCAAGCTGCATATGAAGAAAACGTCGTAAAGGTCTTCAAGTCACTCGATCGACTGGAGAGAATCCTCGACAACGGACCGTTTCTTCTCGGCAAGCACATCACCGAGGCTGATATACGTCTCTTCCCAACCATTCTCCGTTTCGACGTTGCGTACGTCCCTATCTTCATGTGCAACCTTGGAACCATCAGGGATCACTATCCAAATTTGCATCTTTGGTTGAGGAGACTTTACTGGGACATTAGCTTCAGAACTGAAGGCGCGTTTCGAAAGTCTTCCGAGATTTGGCTTGAGAAGTACAAGAATGGTTATGCGAATGCTAGACGAAGGGTACTCGGTATCACTGGGCCGGATATTGTTCCCAAGGGGCCTCTGGTGTTGATCCACGAGTTGAAGGAGAGGGAGAGGCTTTAGGCTTGATCACGAAGTATCATAGTCACTGAAAGATGACATTAGCAGTAACATACACGTTATCGCTTTGTACACTGATGATTAACAACATTTGCATGTCGATTAGGCTCAGTAAGTGAAATAGCTTCCTTAACCGCCGTATTTCTATACCAGATCGTGATACGCGTCAAGATTCACTGCCGGCATCGGTCCTTGTACTTGACCAGCAATGCTCCAAGTATGAGCGCACTCAGCCAAGCAACTGACCAGGTAGCTCTGTTCTTCCGGAATACCAAACCTCTCGATAGACCTCGAAGCTTGTATGGATGCATAGATCAATATGAGTGGTGCATGTCGAAGCCCGTATTGCATTTTGTAAATCCGAACCAGAGCAAGGACATCTTGAGCTGCTGTGGTGCACGAAAGGAGTGATGCTTCTCGAGCCGAGGCGACGTTACTAGTGACGGCCGATTCGTAGTTCAAGGCAATACGGATACTGCTGTAAAGAAGACTTCAGGATGTTGATTAGTCAAGGAGCCGCTCAGAGTCATAGAGACCTACTGGAGGGTGGCCACCGCTGGTGTTATTGTCACACCCGTCGACCACTTATTCCACTTCGCAAAAGCGGGTAGTGCATCCCTCCACTGGAGAAGCTCGAGATTGAGATTATCAAGTAGCGTCTGGCGTGTAAAGACGTCTGTCTGCGTTCGAGGCGTCCGTGGAGAAAATACTGTCGTCATCATTTTCTCAACAATTCTGTACAGACGAATCTGCTCTTTAAGATATGGTATGTTTGACAAGACTCGAAGCTCTTCTGGGTCATCACCAAAACCAACAGGACGCCAGTACTCCATTCCGGGACCGTCACTAACTTCGTTAGTTTGTTTGAAAGCTAGGAATAGGGGCTGTCTTACCTTATGAACTCCAGTAGATCGACCTCGGCGCTATCGAAGGCTAGTTGTACGGGTCTCCCGAGGATCAAGCTTATTAGTTTGTCTGATATGTATGAGCCCCAATAGATTCTGCGGCGGATCTCAATATCTTCGCTTGATATAATGGTCGAGTCATGTGGCAGCCAGTTCATAGGATCACTCTGAAAGCCCAAGTCTTGGGCCATACGGAACGCGATACCTGTCTTTTGTTAAAATCAACATTTCCATAAGAACAGCCAGTACATCGTACCTGAGAAAGCCCATCCCTTGGATACGTTCCCTCGACCAATTTCAAAAAATGCTAAGCATAAGAATGACTGGACAGTGGGGATCGAAGGACGGCTTAGGCCGGATACCATCACGATACTCTCAGCCGCCTGAAAGAACTGCTCAGTCAGGTTCCGCTCCGCTTCAGTATCTGACATAAGGAGGCCCAAGGCGCATATCGACAGGAGAAGTGCAGATGACCAGTACTTGCAGCCTTTTCGCTCACCAAAATGGTCTCTTAGAAACGCCTCTCGGTAAACAAACATAAAGTGGGGATATTGCCAGCGAAAGAACTGTTGCAGTGCTTTGAAAACTGTGTCGTCTTCCAGCTTGATGCCGAAGTGATTTATAACATGGTCAAAGTTGGATTCTGCGTACAGACTCTGCGTTGTGCTTGGATAGCTCTCGCTTGTGGATAGAAGATCACTGTTGAAGATGCTGGTGGCACCATGGTAGACAAGTGATCCTTCTGCATCTGGTTTCAAGAGTGCTCGAGCTGTAGTATCAGTTTGGATGACTTGAGATGGCCCTGCGATCGACATATTTGACGCGCCCTGTAAATAAGCCGCGGGCCCAAGCATTTCATCTCGGCGAGCGGGAGAAGCGTCTCTCAACTCCTGGATGAAAGCCTCCAATGACGCAACTCTATTTCGTAGTCCAATCGTGTATTCTGAAGATGGTGGGTTCCGTCTCTTGTCGATCTTTTCATACTCGCAGCCTGCACCCGCTGTTGCACAATTGGTGCATGGGACTGTTCGTGTGCATCTCAACTAGCGCCGTCAAACTTATACAATTCCATCAGGATATTCCACAACGTGAACTTACCTTTCGGTATCGGCAACGTTTGCAACTAGGGTTTCGTGTCAGTGAAAGATATCTTTGGTAACGCGCTTGTCTAGTGTCTCACGAGAGTTCTTGCTTCCCGGTTGCGGAGTTCATATCGGGTCAGGCTAGATACAACTAGAGTTAGCTGACAGGGCCCTACTATGCCAAGTTTGAATGCCGATCAGGCATCGTCTCAAGTTGTTGCGAAATATCAGCCCAACATTTGAGGAGGGGTTGGGGAAGCCGGTTGGAGGGTTAAATGCGAGTTGGATGTGTGGGTCGAGCTTCTGCTCCATTGCCAACTACTCCGTACCTAACTTGCAGTACCACCTTGGTAACCCATGCCTACCCTAGAACAATTTATTATTAACATTGGTTTTGTCGATGACACCTGAAATATTATGCTTAGACTGCGAACACCGGTGACAGATGAGTCACCTAACTATTATTTTCTCCAATATAAGCTTTTACCCAGAAGCCTTCACGAAGGGAAGGTTTACGAAGTTCGGCCACAACGTGATCTAGCACAATGGTCAAAGGCTACACATGTTGAAATAAAGGTTATGTCTAATAGTAATTCAGCCTTTGGCTGTAGCAATTGGTTAGTCATTATGGTATAATGTCTAAGTTGTTAGCTAGATGTGTTATTTACAGTTGAGGCTCGTGGCTGAGAGCTTAAATCAGCAGACAGAACTTAGTCTAATAGTAAACTTTGGCGTAGGTAATACGTATGGCGATTACTCCTCTCTGTTCAAGATCCGGGCTTCCGACTAGATATTAGTCTTCCCACCGAACCTTAACAACAGAAATGGCTCATTTGACAAAATATAGTCTTTGGCTTTCTACTTACTCTACCACTAGAGTTGGGTATAAATATATTCTAGGTTCTATCTATTATTTCAAGCTCTTAGCCACAACACTCAACTACAAATAACGTATCTAGCTAATAACTTAGACATTATAACACAATGACTAACCAATTATTACAGCGTAAAGCTGATACATTAGAAACCTAGACGATGACTCCTTGGCCGGCCTTGGAGGCATACACAGTGCTCCAATCTGTATAAATACCTCAAAGTCTGCCCCCTCTTGCTCTGCTTAGTCTCTCATTCAAAGATATGACCACTATAGACCGAAAAGGAATGGCGCTCGTTTCAACAGATCCTTTCATCAGGCTTCCGCCAGAGCTACGTATCCAGGTTCTCGTATCGACTGGCTGCAAATCGTCGATATTACGGATAATTCAAGCCTCTCCTGTCCTCCTGCGACAATATCTCGCACACAAAATGTTTATCTTACGACAAGTCCTTGCCGCCGAATTTGACACCGAGATGATAAAATATGCTATGGCTATTTTGTTGTTTCCGAATCGTCGGACCTGTGCTGATAAGCATCAACGCAAGCACCTTGGTCGTGCACACTTGCGCGCTTGGTCAAAATCTCAGTTGCCCGATCCATTCGAGCGTGACGACGACCACCTGGTGGGTCAGCTCAATAAGTTACATGATCAAATTCTTCTTTTGGTCGAGGACTATGTCACCAAAGCCACCGCTTCCTTTCCCCCACAGGAATATCTTTGTCTACCAGAAATTCAGCCGCCATCAACTGAAGGACACCTTGTGTTCAAAGGCCTCAAGGTCACACCGCGATTTAGTTCCGCGAATCTCACATCCTCGGAACGGAAAAGGTTTGTCAAAGCATTTCTGGTGTTTGAACTACTATGCAAGAACAGTACATTCTCTTATGATCCCGGCAATATACGGCTACGCAAAATCAGCAGCGCCGAGTACGAAGCTGTCGGATGTGTCCACAGCTACGTCTGTTCTCTATACGGGGCAATGCTAGCCCAATGCAACTGTGCTGATCTCCCAGCCGCTTTGGCGACTCCTTCATCCTTAACTCGGACAAATTTTCCGGTTCCCGACGCCCTCTTTTTTGATGCCAACGTCTACGCACCTAATCTGCATTTACTTTCTCGCGACTGTGGCGATGATATTGGGGCCGGTTTCTCAACGCTTGGGCTCGATCGCCTAATCAAATTCCTTCGCCACGATATGGCTAAGCCTAATGAAAGGAAAGCACTCGACGAGAAACTCAAAGATGCCTGGATGTTTGGAAACCCTTCTATCGCCCACCCGTGGGAAGCGTTCTTCCATAGCCTCCTCGTAACCGAGCAAAAATACAAAAATGATTACGAATCATCTTTATACAACCAACTCTCTCTGAAGCCCAAAGAGAAACTCAGATACAAGCTCGGTCAGGAGCGCGCTTGGGTATTTTTCGATGACAGTCGCTTTTACCCGCAAGAGAGCACCGAACAACCAACCTTTCCATCAGAGAGATTTCTTGAAGATCAACCGGCTAAGAAAACCTTTATCAACGATTGGTTTGATAACCTGAGAGATGACAAAGGCTAACGCCGAGACTAGGGTATATTCCTGTTTGTCGAGTTCTCCTGCCAAGTCTCATTTTCGTCCTCAGTCCAGCAGCCAAGACCACCAGGGTTTAACCCGGGAGGAGGGAATTGAGTGCCTCCAGGCAAACTAGCTGGAGGAGAGAAGTTTCCAGGAAAGCCTGGAGGAGGGGTTCGGAGACTGTGAAAGACTCTTTGGTGATATCGGGAATGGTTGAGCTTACCACCACGGCCGAGAAAACCAGGAGCACCGGGGATATATAGGTACGTACACTAGGAAGCGACAATATGTATAAATGATGTCAAGACTCCATCGAACTCTCCGGAATTGAGTGCTATTTGCTGAGCGGAACTGAACCACTGTCACTCTGCATGGCTTCCACTGACGAACGACTCGGGTCCTGCAGACTGGTGCTTAGCTTGAGTCGTGGAGTCTTCGGAGGCCATCGGAGGCGCGTAGTTTCGGTATCCCGATGGCAAGGGGGTTCGTCGCGCTTCAAAAGGGGCTGTCCTGGGATTCTCTGATATGGCTAAATGGATTGGTATTGTGGTATGTAGTGGGCTTATAGCATAATGACAAGTAACTAGATAATAGCAGCCAGCCGAAAAGAAAAGACACCTGGGTCTCAATGCTTTATTTGAAGGTTCCTCTTGAGGCATGTTGACGCCCACCGCTTGGAATTCGAGTGTGTAGTGAGTGAGCCAGGACACGGTGCTAGCAAGAAGCGCACGAGTAGTGATCGAATCGCCACGCAGACGCGATAAGTTCGAGTGTAGTTAGTGCAGTTTTGGTGATTAAGGGATCCGAACTTGGCTCCATATCTTCTTATTACCAAGAATTCTGGTTTCAATTATGGTCTGTAATGTAAAAAAGTAAGATTCCGTTCTAGTCGAGTCGATCCAACTTGGCCGGCGTGGCCCTCGGTAAATGGGAACAACCTTGAAAAAGTCAAACGGCGATAGAAAAAAAGGTACTGTTGTTTCAGTAGGTTCGTTATTGCAACCGAAGTCTCTGGGTCCAGAAGCCACAACCCCCTGTTTCCCTAACAGGGGCCAGGCCGGATTCATCTAATTTGAAGTTCCATGTACAAGATGCGGACCGATACCAAAGCAGTTGTCTGGTCCTAGGGGTTGCTTAAATGTGAGGTTATTGCAGTGCTGATGGTTGAGCACTTGACTAGACCGAAGGCGTTGATTATGAGTGCATAACTTGACAATTCTTTCATCACAGCAGACCCTAGCTGCTCCCTGCCCAGGCAAAAAGGCGAAAAGAATTGAAGGAACTTTGAAAACGGGCTGATAAACAGTAAAAGAATGGCCATGGCATCGTAGATGGGCGACTGTTTGTTGAGTTCTCCTGCTAAGTCTCATTTTCGTCCCCAGTCCAGCAGCCAAGACCACACTCAGCATCCGTTGGATCAACGGGGTGACAAGCTGTTATCTTGGTTGATAGATATTTGATCTTGCTGATGGTCTTGATGTTATTCTTGGTGTTTGATGGTCTTGAAGTTGGTGGCCTTCAGGTTGACCCGAGAGCTCAGCAGTCTGGTTGTGGCCGATGAACAGCAGACGGTACTGGTTTCAATCTTGCATACTTGCATGTGCCTGGGTTATGGGAAAGGTAGTAGACAGCGTATCAAGGTGAGGTACGCAATACATTGCCAGTTCCATCAACCCAGAATAGCACTATGAATACACAATTCAGGGGATATCTCATCAGCAGTTCCATATATATCGCATTGAGTTCGTCTTGGCCTCCTTGAAATGAAGGAGTTAATCGTCGACACTACGTAGAAGTGCGAACTCATAGTCGACGTTTGACTCGGTCGTTGCCATCGATCCAGGTGTTAAGGGAGCCGTCCATCAGCGGGCCTCGAGACCTTGTGAGATCGAAAATTGTCGGAATAGTCAGGGGTTCCTTGCGTTTTCCTTCGCTTACTTGACCGGATCGTAGTGGCGAACCAAGTTCTAAAAAGGGAGCCGTCCACAGGCGGGCCTCAAGACCTTGAAAGAACAAGGCCACCAGTCGATTGAGTCAAGGGTTCCTCACGTTTTCCTTCGTATAAGTAATAATACAGCACCCACTTGTGTCCTAGTGGGTGACACGGCACAGCATATCTTCAACACCAACACCAACACCACCAGTCGGGTCGAGACTCTAGAGAGAAGGGGACCACTCGTCGGCTATCCTCACCTATTTGATAGCGGCACGTTTTGCCGACTGAGCAAAGCGCTCATGCCTTTTTCGTTCAAAACGGTCATCGTAACCCCATAGCCATTTCCGGAGAAGGCGATTATGCCTCTCTGCTTGCCTTTGATAATATTAGTAAGCTGTCGAATTTTGAAATGGGATGTGAAGCATTGTGATGAGGTTAAGAGGTTAAAAGAGGCTTCATCTCCAAGGCACAAAAGTAAAGAACAGCAATAAACACATATGAGCAATATAGTCATCGCCCTGACTGTTGTCTAATATCTTGCTTTTGGCTGAAACGCTAGATGGGATGTGAAGGACAAGGACTTACTCGATAGCATAATGGGCCGTTTCTTCGGCAATGCCAGCCACTATCTTGCGCTCCTCCAGTGGGATATCCCCACTTGCCAGGAAGCCGGGCAACCACTGTAAATCAGGCCCAAAGGCCCAAGCAGGGTTTTGGCCATTGACCAATGCCGAGACCCTTTCCCGGTATCTCAGAGACTCGTCGTTCTGCCAAGTCTGCATCAACTTGTGTTGACACCTGGCCTCCCAAAACCTGCGTATCCCCGCCTTTCTCATCCGGTCATGCCGGCGTTTGTACTCGGCCCTGGTCACAGAAGGCCACAGAGTACAGACTCTGAGAGTCTCAGCCCGATCGCGGATCTCCTGTCGACGAGAGACAGGGTGAGGGAGAGGGAGAGGGAGAGGGATGGCTAGTCCCATGGCAGCCAAGTGGGCTTGGTCGGCGGCGTTCATGGCGATGGTATGGATATAGTGCCGAGAGAAGAGGATATCTATGATTATCAAGTAATTAATTTGATAATAAGATCGAAAAACAAAACAAAAAACCAAAACTCCCAATGGCAATATGATGATGATGGAAGGGAGGGTACTACGTTCTATTCTGACATTGCAATAATAAACAAAGTAATGTTGTACCTGCCTCACGTACTGGATATTCGATAGACTACCTGAGGTACCTACCTTACCTTAGTACCTAAGTCGGTAAAGTACCTACCTTAGGTAGTAGGTACAGTGAGCTACTACCTTACAGTTACCTCTCTAAGTTGTCTTGTACTGACAGAAAGAATGCTCTCGCATTTCTTACTACCAGATGCAAGAGCACACTTGTCTCATGGCAGAGTTCCTTCACCATTGTATTCACCACACAGAGAAGAACCGTGCACTATATCAGGTGAAAAGAGTATCAGACGCTCGATAACGACAAGTGTTTGTTCAGATTGGCATTCCTATCTTTTCCCTTTCTGGCACTTTCTTGCAAAATAATCTCCTAATGTGCAGCAGGTCCAAGAACTAGAGGCCATCACCAAGCATCACTGAGAAAGCAAATGCGCAGAGAAGCTAGACGATATATCGCTTTCGCTGGGGGCGATATGTCGATTATCTCAGTATCACTCCTGAGAAGAGGCGAAGATTCAAGTCGATTCTCGATGTCGTGGATTTCGATTGTGGTCAATAAGTTATTCCTGCCATGTGCTATAGTTCAATATGAATATGGTATCGTAAGTGCGTGCGAACAGACTCGTGCGCTTCGTGACAGCACCGTGCCACAGATCATGACAGATTGACCTACCTAAGTTTGTTTAGGGAGTTAGAGAGGATAAAGATAAGGTTTCAAGAAAATGGTCATTGCTTCAGGGCGTTGGGCATCAAATGAAGAACTTGAAGCCTATAAAAGACAATAACTAAAAAAGATTAATTCTGTGATGGAAGTAATTTTTGTGTAAGTAACTTATTGTAATGGCATTTCCTTCAGTGGGTGATATGCCTAGAATTTGGGGGTCGCATGGTATTTGGCGAATATGCTCATGTTAAGCTTGTTGACTTCCTTCAAATTCATGACACCCTGAAAACACACAAACCGAAACTTTTGTGTAATTCCAGGCCTATGCATGTCAGATATTCCCGCAAGACTTATCCAATTCTCTTAATGATAGCCTCAATGGTGTTACTTAGGTCTGCCACGGTTGGTGCATAGCATTCAAGCGGCTAATCTGAGTAAAAGTAGCGCTAATATATCTAATGTGTAACAAGAGAAAGGGAAAGATAACCAGGAATATGACTAAAAATGAGGAAACAGCTGTAACCACTGGAAAGTGACAAAAACTCCAACGGGACAATGTCGCAAGCTTGCAAAAATTTCAGCGACAATGAAGGCCCTTGACAGAACATATGCGGTACCCAAAACATATAGCAAGTATATACAATAGAACTTGGCGAGGTTTCTGATGAATCTCCTGAGATATTCCGGTGTCCTTCGTGGAAAGACGAGAGCATGAGACCTGTCAAGGAATAAACACCAAAGGGTGAGCCAGATCATGCCTGATATTACAACGTAAACAGGCAACGCGCACATGATGATCGCACAGCTGAGCTGCCAGAATACTGCCTCTGTGTACGAAGGGAAAGTCAACAAGAATGAAGGCGTAAGATGAAGGCCGCCATAGCAAATAGACAGGATAACAGCGAGGAATACTATCTTGTCGTACCTCCAGAACTTCCACATAGGACCATATTTCGAAAGAAAACCTTGCGTTTCATAATGCGGAGCAAGATCAAGGGAGAAGAAACTTCTACCCTCCCAGAAATCTCTGTCGCAGTTCAATATCAGTTCTTGTCTGAATTCGTCCAGGCGCGCTAGGAGAAGAATACGTTTTTCTCTCTCCGGAAGATCCGGTATACCATCTTCCTCACATCTGTACAGTCGAGCCCTTATCGACGTTTCAGCCAGGTAATCTCGCTGTTCGTCAGAGTATCTGGACAGAATAAGATTCCATCGTCGAAAGAACTCAGGTGTAAGTGGGAAAGAGTCCATGACGGGTTCAGATCTTCGACAGAGCTTGTGTTTAACCATTGTCTGGCCACCCCATATGTTTTCGAGAGGATATAAAGCATCCTTGGTATTTGCGGTGTAGAAAGCAAGCCCAGAAGGTAGAATATCGCCAACTTTCATTTCTGTCGACGCCGGATCGATCCATCTCATTTGGCGACCATAAGATCCTTCTGGGGGTGGCTGTTCTGGTGTTTGACGTGAAGGGAAGAGTGCTAGACTGTATGACATCCTGCTATAGAACTGCTTCTGTAGCATAATGGCCAGTTCGGCTTCGAAAGCATGTGGTTGAACAACGAATGGTTCTTGAACATCCAATGGTTTCTATATGCTTGTCAGCTAAGTGCAATGAGATTTTGAGGGATACACAAACCTTGATCCAACAACAGTATTGGATGATAGCAAAAAATACATGCAACATAGTATGGATTTCTAGTAGTGTAACTGGAAGTCCAAATACAAACCGGCAAGCACATTGCGTAATCATCCAGAGTATCTGAATAAGAACAACGGCTTTTTGAAATACACCAGCCTTACTCTTGTCGTCAATGTCTTTCTCTAGGACTTTAAACCAATGGCCCTTGCTGGCGAGTTCAACTATAGCAGGCGGGCCTGCGCGGACGGTTTGTCGAACGGGTTTCTGGCCTTTTTCGGGTTGAGGGTCTTTGAAAATCTTCTTAGCTGAAGGGTCAAGATCCGAAGTAGACAAGATGTTGGTAACGTCGAAGCGAACTCCTCCCATGACAATAAAGTAGGCGTACTTCAAGTTGATCTTAAACTAAAGGCTGTTATTGAGTATTCAGGTGCACCGTATTAGATTCCTTACATCATCAGGATATGATATTGACGACTTCTGTTGTTTCTGTATTTTTCTAAGTTTCGACTTCAGAAACCAGGCACTGGCAATCTGATTACCCGCGGTGAACATGGAGATTTCCGGGATCACAATGGTTAACAGGACCCATTTTATCTTCTGTAGCAGTCGGCATTGCCATGTAGAGTTTGGAATTATGTCGAGATGAAGGGCCGTGAAGACGCAGGCGATGAGGGTAAAGATGCAACTTTCAAGAATGTCGAACGTGCCCCTGATATTAGGAGAGTCAACCCAAGGTGGAGCATACTTTGAGTTCAGATCTGTTTCATTGTGGTAAAGGATAGAAACCTGCCATGGTTGGGTGAAAGTCGACGAGTTGGCGTCTCCCATATTGACTTTTTCAAGAAGGGCAAACCAGGGAAATCTGATGCGGCGCTATCAATGATGTCGATATTCTTGTTGAGTTCTAATACTAGTTTATAATCTGTGAACTTCAATATCCAGTATGCTATGGCGATGTCGAGCCAGCCAATAGGCGCGCCGTGTTTACCGCCGCCCTGCATTCAGTCGAGTAGTTGGACAAACCTACAAAAGCCACCGAGCTTCCCCCGCATTGTAACATAGTTGAAAATACAAAGAGGCTCGGGACAGAATACGAATTTTCTGTACAACAACCCCTTAGTATTTGTGTTCCTACCAGAGCTGAGAGAATGGTCTTGGATTCCACCGCCGTCGAGTCAGGTTCCCAGTCCTCAAGTACCCCTCACCTCGAACTCGTCAACGGCCAAGTCCCATACCGTGACGCCGTCGTGCCATGGAAACTCCCCAAGGTTCTGCTTTTAGGCGAGGACCGTTACATCGACAGTTTCGAATTGGATTGCGTGACACATGTGGTATTGCAGTGAGTCCTTTTGTCAGTACACAGAGAAGAACCGTGCAACTGATCGGTTGAAAAGAGTATCAGACGCTCGACAACGACAAGTATTCGCTCAGATTGGCGTCCAACACGACTACAACTATCCTTTCCCTTTCTGGCACTTTCTTGGCAAAATGATCTCCCAGGCACTGTTCGTAAATGAGACTTCGCTTGAGATATTGAGTTTTACAAGGGTAAACGACCGTGAATTCGTTGGGTTCGAGAACAAGAATCATCCGAAAAGCAATAACAGCACAAACATTAATGTTATTGAAGTGAGTCTCAAAAGACCGCAACCTAATGAGCCTATGGAGATCTTTTGGAGGCCTGCTAGGGGCATCATCATCCAGAGGCTTCGAGAATGTGAGTACCGCGAGGGTTACACTTCGGGACTTTGAGGCTGAGATGAAACACAGGGTTACAGGAACCCCTTTCGGGCCATTGACGGGTACCTTTGGTTGATGCTCGACGGGTAGACACTGTAGCGTCTCTTGTTGGACGGAACCAACACAACCAACGCTTTCGAATGTTCAACGAATGCTACCATGTCTGAGCCCTGTCGATCATCTATCCTCGTGACAATCCCAAGGTCCCAGTCATCATTCGGCCTAGCAGGTACCAACATGACATTCTCGTATCTCTCATAGGCATATCAGGGTCCAATTCGTTCTCGGCGAGTGTTGGTTCTGTGACGAACTGCATTAGAACCCTTAGCTAGCATAAGTACTCTATTAGTATGTCGATCCTTTGCCAGATTTACAAATGGAGAAAGGTTAAACCCTGGCTCTTTATTGCGGCGGCCGGCAACCTGCTTTCCATTATTCACACGATTCAGTCCCCAGCTTCATTTAGTAATTGTGGCGTCAAGCTTTCCTAGCCTCCCCGGCAGTGACATCCTTACAACATGGGTTCTGGGCTGGAAAATAAGGCAGCGAATTACCGCCTAATTGCATCAGAAGCCCAACTACGGAGTAATGCCTCTCGAAACTGTTGAAATGACCAGCTGGACTACGGAGTAAAAGTGAGGCCTTCTCGAGGGTCTTGGCTGAATGCTGTGCGCGTTGATCAGTTCGCCAGGCATGCTCACAGTTCAAGGCCTGCATTCTGAACAACGAGTGTCATTGCAGATGAGATAGAAATTTAATATTCCAATTGAATGTTTCTTGTATCTCTTGCGGGCTATTTCTAGATACCGCCAGCCTGGTTCCAAGACCCCCCGAGAGCAACAAACGTTGCGGTAGATCAAGGTGCCAAAATTGTTAGTCTAAATGTCTACTCCGTACCATCCATATCAAATCTGCCTTAGTTGATCCAAAGCTCATGCAAGCCTTTTGTAATTCGGCATGGGGTTCGGAGGATTTCCTTGCCTGTCCCGGACTATCCCCATCTCATAAAGAGATCTTCCGCATAACGAGCTAAGAAGTCGAGATAGGCCAACACCAGCGAAGTGATTACCGTTATCTCGATAGCCCATCCGAACGAACCGGCAATGGCGGTTTCACAAAGAAGCCTAATCCAGCTGTAGCCTGGGTCATGAATAATTGCCAAGCATAGCCAAGTCAACCCCCGCATCGATTATGACTCGGACCCTCTCTCATATGCCGTTAGGGGTCCAATATGCCAAAACGGCGCTAGCATTACTCGACAGCTTGGTTACGCACAGCAATTTAAACTTTCGGCATTTTCCCTGGCGTACGAACTGATTACTCTTCTCGTTTCAGTCAAGTCAAGGCTGCATGCTTCCTCCTAACGTCCAAGCCCCCGGCAGAAAGAGTGTCTGGGATCTCATCAGTGGCGTACGGGAGGTCAGCATTCTATCGGATATTCCCAGCTCCAGGTGATTCCCAGCAGATCAATATGCCAAGATCCTCCCCTAAAGGCTCATCAAAATCCACCACAAACCTTAACCAGAGGATCCCCCTGTTTGTGTTTTCCCTTCTCTTCCAGGGTGAAGTCCCTACGCTGAAGAGTCAGGGCATGACACAGGACTTGTTACGACGTCAGGACCTGGCATATGGCGAATGAGAGGTGCCGGAGCGATATCATCCTACCTGGGCCCAATGTCGATCGACAAGGTTCCCCGGAGACGGTCTGTGAGATCTACAGTCTAAATACGACGTTGTCTGTTTTTAGCCTGTCTTCCTGCTTTTGGTCTTTGAGTTGGTGCACTGACAGTTCGAGAAAATGAGTAGCAGTGCCGTTTCCCCTGTTTCTTCCTCTTTGTAGTACTGTAGATCCTATTTCTTAGCTTCTTCCTCATTACATCTCGCGCCTTGCTTCTCTTCCCCATTTCGTTCTTATAGATATCAGCCCTGCGGGACCTTTTCTTTTTCGTTTTTCGTTTATCTGTTTCTCCATTTCCCAGCGACCGGGTAATTGGGCAGACCCATCTTCATAGATATTTTGTGTTGGTATCCATCTGCTGAATCTTCTTCTGCCACTCGGTCTTTGCATTCACTCACCGACAATGGCTACCGCAACACACTACACACCCGATGCTGGGGTGATGAGCTCTCAGATCATCACCTATTCTGTCGCCACAGCTCTCTTGGTCTGCCGTCTGATATCTCGAAGGCTTACACATGTCGCATTGTGGTGGGATGACTTTTTCGCGATGCTCTCCTGGGTGAGTTGTACTTGTCCCTCTGATGTTATCCACTTGCTGATCTTATTCTCCCAAGATCTCTGCTTCTCTCTACTTTAGCTTCACGATTTACTGTACGTACATGGACATCTTCATGTCTCATAGAACTCCATCAAGGTAGTCCAGTCAAAGCATACTAACATCTCTCCAGGGGCTGTGAAAATGGGTCTTGGTCATGCGAAGGCGAAAGTTCCTCTACCAGCAGCGACTGTCGAGGAATACGCTCGAAAAGGACTATTCATTGCCGAGTTCACGTACGCAATGTCCCTTGGCTTCTCCAAGCTTGCTATTCTCGGCTTCTACTGGCGCCTCTTCAGTGTCTCGAATATCCGAATGGGAATCCGTATCCTTCAGGGATGCACTGTGATCTGGCTTACCATCCGAACTTTCATGACCATTTTCCACTGCATACCCGTCAATGCCTACTGGGATCACAACATCAAGAACGCTGTATGCAACATCGACCCTGCCAAGTTCATGTTCGGGACGACGCTAGTACATCTTATGCTCGAGATTGCTGTGCTGTCGTTGCCTGTATTTCAGGTCAAGAATCTCAAGCTTCGTCCGGGGCAGAAGATCGCAGTCGTCGCTCTGTTCATGTTTGGTATCTTGTAAGTCTTGCGTCTTTACCCCATCACCTCTGGTTGCCTTGTGTTAGAAAGAGGCTAACTTGGTCTCTCTATAGCGTTTGTATCGCCTCGATCATCGTGCTTATTGAGGCAATCAACCTCAATCCCAACACGACTGAGATGGCGAGGGACATTAGGGGAGTCATCATCTGGGCAGGCACAGAAGCCTACCTCGCAATCATCTCTTGTAAGTGGTACAGCATAATCACTGACCTTGATGCTAACTTTGACAGCTTGTCTCCCTATTATTCGACCTATTTTCCGCAAGTTCATCTCGAGCTCGATACTTTCATCAAAGTCCAACTCAACTAGTCCTAATGCTATCAGCGGCTTGACTAGCAGCCGTGGTATCAAGCTTACCAACGTTACTCGAACAAAAGAAATCGACGACAATAGTTCTCAGCGACAACTTGCCGACCTTGAAGACGGATCGTCTGATGATATGAACTTTCATGGCTACCAAGAACGTGTCCCCAATCACAACACTGTCATCACCAGTTGCGCCGATGAGAGACCTAACAGCCACGCACACAATACAAGTGTACAAGGCATTCAAGTCAAGAATGAGACAAGAATATACTATGAGTAGGGGAGCTGTACTAGAGTATTCTTTTCTGTTGGAGAATGAGGGAAGCCTCTTCAGGCTATTGTAGCGACTTTGCAATGTATGAAATGAAGTGTAATGATAGATACCAAACTTCACATATAGATACAGATATCTTTCTTCCAGCAAGAACAGTAATAATTTGATGTTAGGTCCAATGAACGGAAACAGCCGGCATATTCTTACATGTTTATGAAAAACTGCCCGGCCAAGTTCAATAGAAAGTCAAAGTAATCATGGTGCCTTGGCATACTGACTATGAATGAAAGTCTCTAGGGGGGGAAGAAAACTCAGGACCTTGATCCAAAATGATGAAAAGATTGAGGTAAATTAGTATAAATTAGTATAAATTCAGGATATCTTTGCTAAGTAAAGGATACCTTTTGCTAAGTTTATTTTGATAGGTATTCTATATTTAAGTCTGATGATTTGTTGCTCACTGAGGAAAACCCAACGCGCTGCTTCAAGGCATTCGCTTGCCGCAATGAACTCGAAATCTTGTCTTATAATTGAGATAGCAGTGGGCTTATCATTCTGTCATAAATAGACCAGATATTGTGCTCAAGTCACCAATGATGCGCTTGGTATCGCTTCCTGAATCATTTCTTCATAGTCAAACACAGCAATAAATATTAATAAACAGCTTTCACTCTGAGCAATCGTTTCTTTCTACTGTTCAAATTTCAGTTAATATGAAAGTATTATCAATTATCTGATAAACTCTCTCCGTGACATGAGTTTTGTCTTGCTGACTTGCATGTCTCACTCGTGACGTCAATCACGTGAGATCCTTATTCCCATTCGCGCCCGCTTACGTATCGACATCATCAACAATCTAGTCTACCTTACCTTAAGTTAGTCTAGACTAACTCGAACCGCCAGCGCTTCCCAAACTCAAAATGGATCGCCTCTCAACTGAGCTCCTCTCCATGATCGCAGCGGAAGCTGCTGCGTCTGGACCGCCGCAAATTGACATCAGCACAGTCTTCGATGCCTGGGACTCTGATGACAAGTTGAAAGCCCCTCAGACGTTATCACGACACAATTCCCTTGCTCCATACGCCGCCGTTTCACGTAATTGGCAGCTCGCCTTTGAGCCGTTCACTTTCCATACCCTTGTCATCTCGCCCAAGAGGCTGATTGAGGCGGCACAGCACGGCTACCTCACTGAACGGCGCCTGGGGTATGTTCGCTTCATCGCTGTTGTCATCACCTTTCCCCTCCCGCGGCCTTGGGACACTCCCATTGTTTTCCCTCCTGGGCTAGATGTTAGAGGGGACTTTTTGAGAGCCAGAGATGATACAGGCTATGTCTCATCCGATGATGAGCTTGAAGAAGATGAGGATGATACTAGCGCGGTCGACTTTCCCCACCCAAGAGATAGAGGCTACGACAGGGTATTCGCCAAGATCATGAGAATTCTCTTCAACGCCCTCAAATTGGCTCCAGTCCATGAGAATCACCAGTCATACATCGATATACGGTTCGGCTTCCCAACCCCTCGGGAATACGGTCTGAGCCGCATTTCCAGCCCTGAAGAGATGGAAGCAAATACCCTAGAGGGCCCTTGGCTTACAACCATCTATTTCGGTATGAAGCACGACGGCAAGGAGCTCCCAGAATTGCCGTCCATAGCTTCATGCAGTTTCGAGCTCGTCTCGTGGAGTTTGTGCTTCGAACCTCATACGGCATGCATCCTCGCAAGCAAGATGCCACGTTTGAAGAAGCTCAAACTTCATCTCAGTGATAGAGAGTTGAAAGATCCAGATCTCAGAAATGAGCTTAGAAAGAGTAAGGTCTCAATGGGCTGCATACCTGAGTCGCTGACAGTTCTGTAGAACTCGCAAGTTCGTTGTCAATCCTGCCACAGGGCATCTACGACTTCGATTTTCATTATTTACGACGTATACCGCGGGATCACTCACACATACCCGCGAGTATACTAGATCCAGAAGAAAACTACGATCACCTTAGCCAAGCGCTCTTTAACTTCTCGCAGCGAGAGAACATAACACGATTCTCGGCAGAGGGAAGTTTCGAACTGACCATATTGGGCCCATCGGAAGAAGCTCTGTCTGGTAGTACCGGCTGGTCCAAACTCGAAAACTACGCGATCGGTTTTCTTGCCATCACCCCCGCTGGAAAGTGGCTCGCGGTGCCCTATACGGAAAATCCGAACACTGACATCTTCAAAACTAAACGATGGGGCCCACCGAGTGGGCGGACGCGAGGTTACTACTCAAATTTCAATGTCAATGAGTATAGAGGTCCAATTGACCCAGACTATGCACACGGACTACTCTGTGCAGCCGGACAGGCAGCTTCTCACATGCCCGGATTGCAACGAATGGTCATCAATGTCGGAGTGATCGGGAGCTACAGGGTCTCTTACAACAGCGCCAAAGTTGAGCCATGTATGAGAATCGTCGGGAAGAACCTGCAGCCGCCTGAAGAAGACATGCTTCGAATCTGGCGTCGCGTAGCGCATGAGCATGATCACAAGCTTGTCCTTCGCTGGAAGGACACAGCCAGGATTAAAACGAGAATGGAAGATTTTGAATGATTTGGTCATAAATAAGGCTTTTGTATTACGATCATGAATGATATATATGAGAATCAATGGGTATCAATGTTGCTGGTCGGGTCCCGTGTTTGCCCCTGGTAAATGAACTGTCCTTAATCCTGAACTCCTCCCAATGATATGTCGAACTGTAAATGAGACATTTCTGTTCAATTCGAGGTCGCTCTGCGCCTCTTTGTAGGCGGCGTCATCCTCGTAGATAAAATGGTTGGTCCCAAGACCATATTGTATGTAGCCAGGTCATCACTGAGCTGGGTCAGAAGACGCAATGTCAGCCCAACTCAGGCGCCCTATGACGAATGGTAAGATGAGTGAAACGACACGGCTAAAGTTATTTTACTGCCGTGGTGGCTTTGTGGCGCTGTTAGCTTACGGCAGCTTCAGTGTCGGGTGATAGCTTCGGCATTTCATAACAGCGGTGAGGGTCGTGCTTCAGTGGCTGTTTGACGAGCTTACGGAGGCGTTGTAGTGATAAATTGTAATTTGTGGGGTGATTAATTGTTCTGCAATGCATTAGAATTGAAGGGCGAGACAAGGGAGGGTGACTGACAGTAGTCGAGGAAGTTTAGCGGGCTGGCCTTTTGGTGACGGCCTCCCGACTGCGATGATGCGTTGGTATTGTACTTTTGTACGTGGTTCATTTGAATCGGAGCGACGTTCATCTGAATGGGAACGTCGCTCCCTGTTCGCGTAGAGGAATTTCGTCCGATTGATTGACATTCGACGTTTGAAGGATCTGGCGGTGGGGTTTCGGGTTCGCCGACGATGTGCATGCAGTTGCAGTCGCTGTGTTGGACGAGTAGCAACAATTTGTTGAGCACCACGAACTCCATCTTTAGTTTGATGCTGTACACGACGGGCTTGTAGGTTGTTTGAATGTTGAAGTGGCTCATGTACTGGGTGACGATGAGGCTGATGTCGAGGAGGATGACGAGAATGTTGACGACAATGAGGTATCGCATGATCTTGCGCTCCATTTTCTTGCGCACGGCGAAGATCGGTTTGAGGCCCCGCGACGTTTCCCATATGTAGAGACCTGAAATGATTGTTTCTTGAATGCAGAAGCCGGCGAGTTGGATGCGTTCGTAGACGTTGAAGGCGCCGATGTAGTGGGCCGAGTGTTTGGTGTTGCTTCCGAGGAAGAGGACTGTCGTCGGAACGTGTAGTATGAAGAAGTTGATGATGATCATGTATAATACCCATCGCGTCTTAGACTTATCCTCAACGATGAGGTGCAGTCGAGAATACAGCACGACAGATTGACCGGTGACCATACCATACCAGCCGACGCACGTCAAGACGCAGAGCAAGAAATTGGGCCCCAAGCTGTAGTACCTCAACATGACAACAATACTGTGCAGCAATATCCCCAGGGTCGCTACCATCATGCTCCAGAAATAGAGACCATCGTGCCGTTTGAAGCGACTGAGTAGCGAGATGAGGATCTCGAGACAGTTGTAGCAGGCTATGGCGAAGAGGCCCGCGATGGCCATGTTGACCGGCAACGACACGGCAATTGGCCCCGTCTGGCCTGTCTCCCCAGACTCGGCGGCCATGATTTCGGCGGTTCCGACGGACGTACGACGGTCATTAAGGAGAGGTAGATTGAAGTTGGAGCGGGTGCATCGTGGACAGTCTCGTCTCGTTGGCAGCTCTTGGCGAGGGTGAAGAAGAGGAGAGACAGAGACAGAGACAGAGGAGCTTGGGTGTTACTTTACGTTAATATGGAGGGTTTCCCCGTGTCGATCTGGCGCGTCATCTTTTGTGTATGTACAGTACGGAGTATGAGTGGCCGCTCTTTGCATTCATAATTAATACGAATAACCAGTTCAGTTAGTTAATGGCCATCAGCTCCCCCTGCATGGGGGGGCTAGGAGGGCCAGGCCATGCGAACGGACCCAAAAATGATGCTTCGAGGATGTAACCGCTAAAAGCTCAAGCGTAAGCCCGGACATGATTCAAGGCCCGCAGACGTTAGCCAGCCAGTCATTCATTCATTCATTCATTCGTGTCTCAGCCATCAAACATGTGCTCGTGGCTTGGGTCCTTGGGAATAAGGTTAGCAACGAGCAATGAATGGTTGGGTCAAGCGAAGAGCGGAAGACAAAACTCGGTCAGTCCCAAGCCTCAACTGTCCCAATTGACTTGACATGGGGGCGATTTGCCAATGAAACAACAACACGGACACACCCATCCGTTGGGCCGGTAAAAGTTTAACCAGGGGATGCCTGAAGGGTTTATCGACGCGCCAACCGCGTTGGGTAAAAATGTCCTTGGACCCCCATAAAGATAATCTTTATATAATTATAACCTTTTGTCCGCGGACGGCTTCGCAAAGTATGTATGTGAGCTGTCAAGTCGTGACATTCTACCAGTTCGAGTCCGGAAGCTGGGGAGAGGTCATCAGGAGAGAGCAATGTCATCAGGAGAAATGCTGCAAGGATGAATGACAAGGGGACCGGTATTTAGAGTTTACATGCAGAACCACGAAATATCATCGAGTGACAGCCTCATCAGCCTGCAAACGTCGACTTTACCAGTAATTCACGTCTCCAATGTCTGATGCAGAGCTTAAACAGTCAGATCAAATGTCACAGTCAGTCACCTCGAGTTAAAGCAGCAAGAAAAAGTAAACGTCATGAAGCAAGAGTCAAAGCGAATGACTCGCGATATGCATGAATTAAGCGTAGGTCACAGCGCAGCGCCCGTAGCCTGAAGCCCTCGGAAAATTCCATGCCCCTCAGTGAAGAATGATCGAGATGCATTGCCAATCAATGCGACGTCAATTTTATGCTCTCCTTGTTGTACTGTAGATTGCTCAATGGTACGGATAATTAAGTGCTGTCTCAATTGAGGGTTATCGCAGAACGCCTCTCAGCACTTGCAGGGATGAATACCGAGTTCCGTCTTATTAGGGACCGGAACTACCGAGGCCAAGACTCTTTTGCTGAAAGACTGAGGCAATTAACAATGAATTATCCCGCTTTTGCTGACAGATACGGATACAAAATCAAGAATTAAGCTTTGGGTTAGTCAGGATGAACTTGTCAGATTTCACTGCCACTTTTTAATGCCTAAGCCCGCAGACCAGTCAAGCCAGATCAGCTCCAGGCCCCGCCCCCTGTAACAACAGTCGAAGCAGCCCCTAAAACCAGCCTAAACAATCTCCATCCGCGAGCTATTGCCCATCGCCTCAAATTAGACCCCCTTAGTATACGAAATCCGTTTCAATCAAATCACCTGCTTGACAGCTCATGTGTAGCACATCTGCAAGGGACGATATCACTTTCCTCATTCAGTATCGTTCGTTTCCATGATCTTCCCGGGGCGCGAATCTCACCGGGCGATGCTTCCGGGAGGAGCCTTGGGCACCAACTGGCCTCAGAGCTGAGGGGGGCAAGTTAGTGGCAAGCTTTAAGCATACTGTACAGTACTGTTACGGGATATGGAGATTTGCTTATGCCAAGTTGAGTAACACCGAGATTCTGCATCGTCTCTGATCGACTTGGATCCTTGCAATGACAGCCCTTTCGGGGTTCACGATCCTTGGCGCTGCATCTTCTCTATGATATGGCTGTCGCTCTGTTCCCAGGGAAACTGCTGCTCCAATGACCGGATTAGCTCTTCGTGGTGTGGCGATCTTGGCGTAATAGCGGCTTTGAACGGCTCCGGGTGGCTGATCATCCCGGGAGTAAATAGGAGTTCAGGTTGGGCACCATTCTCGTCTTTTCTGATATGCAATACAGCGAGTGACTGGGCGATGTTGAGGAACAATGCATTGTCGGCTAAGACACGCCCCGGGCATACGCGGCGCCCGAAGCCGAATGTGTACGTGTGCGGATCTTGTTCAGGTGGATTGCCGTCGGTAGACAAGAAGCGCTCCGGGTTGAAGCGCATTGGGTCTTGGTGGACCTCAGGGTCATGAGCAAAATACCTGCGCACTATTAAATCAAGGTCAGATACCGTAAAGAAGTACTCACCAGATATTGGGCATGATAATTGCGTCTTTGGGAATAAAGTACCCTTCAAACACATCATCTACAGTGCTTGTATGGGGCAGCCCCATAGGGACGATTGGATGCCATCGAAGAACCTCCTTAACTATCGCATTGACATAGGGAAGACTTGGCCAATCTAAGCAATCAGGTAGTCTCTCGTTGCCGATCACGCCGTCAATCTCCTCTTGAGCCTTCTTCTGAACATCGGGATACAATATCATTGCCAGAAAGAAGAAAAAAATGGAGGAGACAGTCTGCCATGTCAGCCAATGTTTCTCGTAATATCCGCCAAGCAACGTACCGTCTCAGCCCCGGCAGCGTACAGTGACAAGGCAGACCACTTGATCGTAAATCTCGCTTCCTCAGTCGAATCTGCCACTTCAAGAAGCCGTGAGACAAACGAGTTATCTTGCTTGCCCAAGGCGTGTTGGTGCTTGACAAAAGCATACGGCTTCTCACTAAGATCATTGAGTTCCGAAGACCACTTTTTTGCAAGCCTCTTAAAGCTCGCGCCTGGAACCCAGTCTGGTACGTATCGCACTGGGATCGTCAATGGTTTGCGTACCTAGGCAGGGTTATGTTTGAGGCGGCTTACAAAGGGGCAGTATATCAACTAGAAACGCGCCAGGGACACCTGCTGCTGCTATATCATCCATGGCCTGGTCAACCATGCTGATGAGACTGTCTTCCTTCAATGGCTCGGCTGTATATCCGTAAGCGATTTTCAGAATGACTGAGCCCGCCTCCCTGAGCAATGTTAGCGTAGTCCCCCGAATTCACTGAGAGCTGAGCAAACCGACTTCCTGACATGGTCCAAGAACCTCTCTGGGTCGTCCAAGATATGAAGTAGAAAGTGAGCAACCTCAGCTTCTTGTAGCCTATCATATTTTGTCACGGCCCTTTTGGAGCCGATGATACGGGCCATGTTCTTCCGATGCATTCTGAAGCGATCGTTGTGTGGTGAGAAGCCAAGTGAGTTCTTCCAACCAACCCTGTCTTCATCAGCCAGTATATATCATCGCAGAGCCACGGCGACTCACATTTCGCCTGCCATCACAAGCTTGGGTCTGGAGGAATGTTTTGCGGATCTTTTAGCTAGCAGCTGTGATGCAAGTCTCCAGTTGTTTATGATGATGATTGTCTGCCCCATTACCGTGATAGAGCTGATAGGCCCTGGTTGCTGTCAGCAGATGGCTCACTGGGTACTCCGTTTCCATTGGAGGTCGTCCCATAGAGGTCCTTGAACTTCAACCAGTGATGAGCCTCAAACACGCCCGGCGGTGGAAGATCGTTCAGATTCCCTACCAAGGGAAAGCCTTTCGGTCCCGGGGGAAGAGGGGCTCGGTTTGAGGCACTGCCAAGTATCTTGAGACCGACGTAAATCAGAAATCCAAGGACAAGCCCAACGACGACACCATGTACCACAAACATTGTTGCAATACTCAGGCGGACAATTGCAAGAGCATAGATTGAAGGCAGTAGGAAAGGTAGGATACTTGTTTCAAATATCTGTTCAGCCAACATACATCATATTGAGGGGTTACTTTTGATGCCTGACAAGAATCTTATCACCATGCATATGCATGCAGTCTGTTTCCTGCCGAATCATCGACTTTCTATCTCGCTAGTGACTCATGCAGACATTTGGTGATCCAAGCAAGCAATACACTCTACTACTGAAGGAAAATCTTGCTTTTCTTGGGAGCTACCCTTAAAAGTTGCTTCTTTATCGTCTAATGATGTTAGTTCTACTCTTTCGCTCGGAGGAGCATTACCAAATTTGGAATATGGTGCGGTATTATGTTGAGCCATATCTGCACGCAGCGGAATGTAGGGCTTAGCCTCGGATTTAGGCAATAAAGAGATGATGAAACAAGCTTAATTGTATCAAGTATATATATGTTATCGTTTCAGTAGAAAGCGCTGTATCATAATTTGGGCATGGTAAGCGACGAGAAGGTAAAATAAGAATAGACATTTGCCTCACTCCGTATCTTGGCAGCTTGCAGTAGAGTCGATAAGCTTTGTAGTAAACATACAATCCGTCAACTACCTTACTCAGAGAACTTCAACCCGACTTTCTAGTACATAGCAAGTGTGCTGAATATTCACCAAAACGTCAAGCCATGCTGCCTGTACGCTTCAACCACTCACGATATAAGCGGGAGCCGGACGGGGAATAGTTATCCACTTCACTACTTAGGCAGCTCCATAAGCGCTAGGCGAGGTTGGCGATAGAATACACCATTTAAAGCGCAAAGTGCTGTCGAGATCAACGTGGCCTACTTGCTTTATCCAGTCTTGTCAATCGCCATGTCTTCATACCCAGCACTAGATACTCTGCCCAATGAGGTTCAACTCCAAATCTTTTCTCAAATCGCAGCCCACGACCTAAGCACAATTGCTCGAACCTCGAAACGCCTCAACCAAATTGCAACACCGCTTCTCTGGAATGATATTGAACTCCATGAAGAAGGTTACCATGAGTCCAGACACGAGCTCAAAACCCCTCCTCCAGCGAGAGATCCAGTGCGTCGACCTTATCATTCCAAGCAGCAATGGGGAAACGGGCAAGGCGCGCGTATGAAGGCTTCTCAGTTCTTCGAGATACTTCAGAGAATGCATAAAGAGAACACGAATCGTTTGCAAGAGATCACACAACGTGTAAGGCATTTTTGTACTGTGATTGATCCTTCCTGGAGACCAGTGGATAAAGATGATGATTCCGTTGATACCGAGGCCATTCAAGTCTGGCATCTTTTGCCGTATTTTTCAAACCTGGAAACCTTGGAATTATACGGAGAGTATTACTGCTCTCAAGAGGTTGAGGAACAAGTTTCTAAAATTATTGGGTCTCCTCCGAAACTCCGATTCCTCAAGCTCTCGGGCTACATGCCACGAGAAGTGCCAGCATGGCTACTTAGAGTGGGAGATACCTTAGAGCGTCTTGAACTCGATATGTTGGACCGCCCCATCTCAACATATCTATCCAATGATCCTCATTTTACTCCTCTTCCATGTGAGAAGATAAATACAGACGATGGAAATGCTTCCGAATCAGACTACGGAAGTGTGACTGACGACATGATCATCCCTCGACCCCTGGGGAGCATTTTTACAGATTGTGGCGACTACAAGCTGAAGTTGCCGAAACTAAAGCATTTATTTCTTGGTCAGCCAGCAGAATCATGTTACACAAATGATTTTGCAACATATAGCTGGTCAAAGCGCGCCGAGTCAGCCTGCTACGACGACTGGCTTAAAATTCTAGAGGCTTCGAAGAAAACACTTGAGACGTTGGTTCTCGAGCAGAGACCATCGGCTGATTTAATTGAAGGTGATGGTTACAGCGAAGACATGTGGATGGAGGAAAGGGCATGGTCTCATGCAAGTAAAATACTTCTTGAGATGGTGGAAAAAGTTATGTCTTCTGAGGCGAATCAGCTATCATTGAAGCAAGTATATCTGTATGGTGTAGTTGCTGGGTTAGAAAAAGATGGTATGTCGTTTTTGGATTTTCCTGCGGGCAAGTTTATGCAATTTTTGAAGGATCGTGGGGTCGAGTGCGAAGCGAGACGGGGAACGTGGTGCTTCTTTGATAGACAGTCAGGATCTGTGGACTGGTGCTCTTGGGATGCAGCGTACGAGGATGAAGAGGAGGAGGAGGAGGACAAGGATGAAGATGCTGAACCAAAAACGAAGTGGGATACGGTACTGGCCAAGGTTTGAAGCCCGAGGGCTTCTCATATTTGATTTGAACTAGTTTTAGTAAGGTTTGACGAAAAGTGACGGAAAATCCGGTTCTTTCATCAATGGCGAGTTTCATCGGCCAGTTCTCAGCCATTCCCGAGCCATCTCGGTCTCTCCAACATAACGCCGTACCCCACATTCATAAACATCATTGTGTAATGATCGAACACTTCCAACCTCCAAAAACTTAACATCAATCTTCAAAATGTCCTCCTTCGCCGTAGTAAAAGACATCGACCACCTCGTCCTAACATGCAATGACATCTCCGCCACCATAGAATGGTACACCAAATATCTCGGCATGAAGTCCGAGACCTTCACATCCGCGACCGATCCATCGTCTCCGCCTCGCAGCGCCTTGAAATTCGGCATTCACAAGATCAATCTTCACCAGCGCGGCAAAGAGTTTGAACCAAAGGCGAGAACTGCATTGCCTGGTACGGCTGATTTGTGCTTTATTATCGAGGATGGGACGGATCTGCAGGGCTTGATTGAGGGGTTTGAGAAGGAGGGTATAATGGTTCTTGAAGGGGGGAAGGTTGTTGGTAGAACGGGGGCTATGGGAGGGATTAGGAGTATTTATGTTCGTGACCCCGATGGGAATTTGATTGAGTAAGTATGGAGCTTTGTTTGAAATGGCTATTTTGTGAAAATCTACTAACTCCTCAGACTTTCCCAGTACTCGACCTAAGGGCTGAGATTTATCAACTTGAATTACCAATTTCTTTGGATTATGTCTTTCCATACGAAAGTTTCAAGTTAATCAGAGTCCTCAATCATCTTTCTCAATTTGAAATCTGTGACTAGGTCTCATCTCATCACGATAAGCAACAGGCTTCATGTTCTTTGTCGAATGATAACCTGAAACCGCCTCCTATGTGGTCTTGGCCATCTAGAAACTCCATCTTACCATTTCTAATATCCACTGGATTGATGTTTGAGTAGCCTGACTTTGCACAAATTAACAGTGGTCCAGGAGAAGTTAGGTTTTAAGCACACTCCACATGCCAAGGACATACCATGGGTCGTTGTGTTCTGAGCAAGTCCGTAAGCCTTCTAGACTCGTCTCTTGGACCTTTTTACCGACAAGATATAGTAGCTTAGCTTAGCAGAATCTTCCACTTGGATCAACATCACATTGTTACACCTATGGCTCCAGCATGGCTTTTGGGCCACAGATACATCAAGCTGTACTTTTAAACAGGAATATTTGTGAGTTGTCCAAGATCCTCATGAGTTTACGTACAAGTATATCAGGAACTTGGAGGCGAAGAATGGATATATGCCCATTCACTGCCCTGATTACTGACTACAACACAGTGGCTAGCTGAACCGCTGCGCTTGAGTCGGAATCTGTGGAACTCGGCCCTCACCTTGACTCACGTAAACATCGCATGAATCTGGCCTCGGTAATCGCAGTTCCGGCATCCAGTTCCTTGGTAGCAACCTGTAATGCAACTGTCGTCATGGGGAAGACCCATTGTAAGCGACTGGGCAGTGTCCTCCTTTTCCGATTCATATCATAAGGAAAAGTGGGAGCGGCATCTTTGGTATAAGATCAGCAGGAACTATTCCCAGAGTATGGTAGAGCTTATCTCCCACTCTTCATTCCAGTCTAACCAAGCTCCCGATCACGGTCTACCAAATGCCGATCAGCCAAGGGCACGTGGGGCCAAATCTGGCTGCCGGTAGATCACTAGGAGGCCTACTGACGCGTGCCCGGTCACGAAGGAGAAATTTATACAAAGTAGGAACAGCACGAAGATTGTGCTATGTTTTTGGCCTGTCTCTCCAAGCAGGAATTCACGAACCAAAACGTCCTCCATTCCCAGCTTTCCCTGATCCATAAACTGCTCCGCCAAACCACAACCAGAAGACAATAAATCGCACAAGCAAAGGTGCTGAGACTCCTGCAGTAGTGTCGATTAGATCTTACAGAAAGAGTCAAAGATCTTCGATTCCACTGGACCGAAATGGAGCAACTTCACCAGCACAAGTCAGTGATGCAGATCGAAACATAAATGGAGGGGCCTGCTCTGCTCAGTGTGGCTGAGATCGACACTACGATCTGCGTAAGGCGAGGAACCCGGTAGGTCCAGCTGTCCACATTTGGACCAGACAAAATTTCCGAAAAATAGGGACTGTAAGGTGGATGTGACGTAGAGAGTTTGATCAATGGCTGAGATGGTTTGTTTGAGAGGTGATGATCGCACTTTGCCGTCATTAGTGTGACGTCGGGGAGCGCATTGTGCTGGGTTGCCATTAGGTCTGATAATATTCGGACTTCAGATAACATGCGGAAAGGATGATGAGCTGTAAAATCATAATAGTATGAGGGTTCAGAGTAACGCCTACTTCTTCATTGCCGCACAAGTGATGAAATCGCTCAGAGCCCCATAAGGCGTGGATCAACCCGAGACTCATGATACCGCCAGCTCCTCGGTGGGCTCAACACCACGCTAACTATCACGACTCCATTATATCAGATTGATCGACAAGACTACTGACTTCTAGTGACAGCATCAATCTCTTTTCTAAGATACTCCCTTATCCGAAAACTTCTACATAAGGGCCTCTCTTCACCGCGTCAAACCTATTCTCATAATCATCACACCATCTATCTCATCTCACCTTTTCTCTACACCACACTCCTTTGAAAAACACTCTTTCAGTTTTCTTGTCAATCACATTCAAAATGAAGGCCACTTTCTTCTCTGTTTTCGCCCTCGCCATCTCGGCCATCGCCTCCCCTGTTCCTGAGGTTCAGAAGGACACCGGCTCTGTTGAGCAGGTCAACGGTGCTATTCACAACGCTGAGAACATCGTCTCCAAGGTCGGCGTTAAGCAGATCGTCGATGAGGCTACCAAATCTCCTGCTAAGCGTGCTCCTATCTCAAACCCCCAGGAGCTCATCACTGTTCTCAAGAGCGGTGTTAGCAACATTGACAAGAAGACTACTGGTCTGAGTAAGTTATGACTTTTGAAATTGATATTGGGATTAGTGCTAATCGCTTTAGACTCTATTGCTGAGAAGGTCAAGGCTGGTGATCTTACCAAGGACGCTGGTGCTACCAAGGCCATTCCAGGCTTTGAGTCCGTTCACTTTGAGCTTACAGAGATTGTCACCAAGCTCACCGGTGCTGCTGGTCTTGATGTTGCCGACTCTGACGTCGACACTGTCCTCAACCTTGTTGTCGTCCTCGTCTCCGAAGTTCTCACTGCTGTCAAGACCATCGTCACTGTTACCGGCCTCCGACCTCAGCTTATCTCCATCCTCCACTCTGTCTTCCAGATTCTCACCAAGGTTCTCGTCCTCGTCATTGGCCTCGTTTCCGCCATTGTTCCTGGCCTGGTTGCCGGTCTCACTCCTCTCCTTGCTGGCCTTGGCAACGGCGTTCTCGCTCCCGTCCTCCTCCCTGTCACAGGCCTCCTTGCCAGCCTTGCTGTTTAAATGGCTTCTTCCTAGGGTCAGCTCCATTAATAGCACTATGAGCATGAAGCTTTCCGGATAGACCGATAGCCACCTAAGCTCAATTTACCATTATGATATTATGGGGAGGCATATTGGATTAATGTCTATGGCCAGTGGTCTTCTTTGTATATAATTACTGTTGTCAACAAAAGCTCACGATATTTAACTACCACGCCTATGTCTTCTTGTGTCGCATCACTAATCGATTCGCCTGTTAACACTATATACGTATGAAGCAGATAATTGACTAATCTGTTTACTAATCATCGCATTATTCTAAGGGTTCTAAAAAGGATATGTGTCTCCCCTCTCGATTTACTGTATCAATTAGTGCTGATTGGCGTCTGTCATCGGGGTTCAAAAGTTCTTTAGTTTACGCCCTGTAGCAGACAAAACTTACGTCACATCGAAATGGGGTAAAGTGAGGCTCAAAAGGAAAGTCTCCCCATGATAAAACTAGCCGGTCTGTCCTACGCCTTTCCATCGACATCAATGAAGTGGATATAAAATCTTGTACACTTCCAAGGCAACACCAACACAACATTCTACAAACGATACTTGATACACCATGGCAGCATCTCGATCAGTCTCAATCACGTATGTCCCGGCGGACTGTGGATCTATTATTCCAGGCAAATCGAAAGCGCCCCAAGCATTCAGAGACGTTGGTATCGTTAGTAGATTGAAAGATGCTGGTGTGCCTTCTATCTTCGAACATCATGCCCTTGAGGCGCCAGCAACCTTTTCTGCTACGACGTTCAGCGCAGGCGGTGCACGCAATGAAGACATCAATATCGCGGTGTGCGAGGCCGTTGAGCGGACTATCGGCAATAACTTCAGGGCAACTGGTCAACTTGATTTCCAGCTGATTCTCGGCGGCGAGTGCTGTATGCTACCAGCTATCCTCTCCGCGTTCTGGAGACATGCCGACTCGCAGTCTCCGCCTCAACGCGTTGGTCTGATTTATATCGACGCTGATACCGACCTTACCTCTCCTACAGATCCAAGCTCTATTGGCACTTTTGCTGGGATGAATATGGCCCATCTCGTGCGGTTACCAGGTGCTCTTCCACGCATGGAGCAGTTCTCTCGTCCATCAGGCGAACCTGTCTGTGATGCTTCCAACACTGTCTTTTTCGGCACAAACATGTCTCTTCCTGGAAACAAACCGGAGCACTTCAAGTATCTTTTCGACAAAAACTTCAAAGTCGTTAGCTCAGCATCTGTGGCGAAGGATCCTGAGCAGCGGGCAAAGGAAACACTCGAGTTTCTGCAAGACAAAGTCGATATCATTATGGTCCATTTAGATGTTGACTCGATTGATCCTGGGACATTTCCTTTGGCAAATGTTCCCAACTTTACTGGTGTGGAGTTTGAGAATATGATGAGAGCGCTCAAAACATTACTTGGAAGTGAAAAGGTTGGAGGTCTCACGGTTGCGGAGGTCAACCCAGATCACGATCCTGGGCTGAAGATGACTGAGAGATTGACTTCTCACATCGTGGAGATGCTGGCCGCAAGAAAGCGAAGGTAGAGAAATGTGCGCTGCATAATTAGGTAGTGATAAGAATATGGAAAGTCGATATGCTACGCTATGAACGCTAGACCTGTATCGGAGTGTGAGAGGCGAGGCACAGCTTGACGTTGATAGGGCTGCATGCGCAGAGCATTCGTCACCTCGACCAACGCCCCCAAATTCGGGCACGTCACAACTATCCCCGCTCTTTCATCGAAACCGCCAAGATCATTGCTCACTAACAACTATCATATAAAACGAATAATCGCGATGGGTAATACGTACTCTTTATTCTTTCCTCCAAGTCCGCAGTTTACCGAGGAGAACCTCACTGCACAAAAAGGACGCGTCTTTATCGTCACAGGCGGCTACTCCGGCGTAGGCTTCGAGCTGAGTCGCATGCTCTATCAAGCTGGCGGATCCGTTTACATCGCTGGAAGATCGCAAGAGAAAGCGGAATCAGCTATCAAACAACTCAAGGAACAACATCCCGATGCAAGCGGCAGCCTGAGCTTTCTCAAGATAGCCCTCGATGACCTGAATTCCATTAAAGCAGCGGCAGAAGATTTCAAGTCGAGAGATTCCAGGCTCGATGTACTCTTCAACAACGCAGGAGTGTCTAACCCTCCAGCTGGGTCAGTCTCAGCTCAAGGATATGAACTCAGTATGGCAACGAACGCCATCGGGCCTTGGTATCTGACACAGCTTCTCGTACCAATTCTAAGAGAAACGGCAAAGAGCCAGCCCGCAGCATCAGTTCGAGTAATATGGACAGCCTCAATTGTCACGGACCTCTCTGTCCCAAAGGGTGGAGTCAAGATGGAAGAAGTCATCAAGCCATCCAAAGACCAGCAAGTCAACTACACGAATTCAAAGACAGGAAACTGGTACCTCGCTAGTGTTCTAGCAGATCAGGTTGACTCCCACGGTATTCTCAGCGTTTGCCACAACCCAGGAAATCTTCACAGTAACCTGCTTCGCCATATGCCGTCCGTTGTTGGCTATATCGTTTCGCCGCTTCTTTATCATGCCAAGTTTGGTGCTTATACCAACTTGTGGGCTGGGCTGTCACCTGACCTTCAGATTGAGGATGGAGGAAGGTTTGTCTTGCCTTGGGGGCGCTTTCATCCGAGCCCAAGGGCTGATTTGTTGCAGAATCTCAAGTCGAAAGAGCAGGGAGGAACGGGGACTGCGTTCGAGTTTGCAGAGTATTGTGATAATATTATTGCGAATCATCAATAGATTCTCTTCAGTCTCAATATTATTTACTTCATCCTTCTATGGTTTTGTTCAAACAGTAACTCAATATCTTGAGTCAACAGATCTCGTGCGAAATGCTGAGGCTCCAACGAGACAAAGATCTGACTTGATGACTGTAAAGTGCCTCATTTAAAACAGCTATGGCCTCTACAGCTCCGGTGTATATCCAATAGCCTTATTCAAAGCGTACACATCCCAGTAAAACGGCATGATACTCTTGATAACCCCAGCCTCGAGATCAACCTGGATGACCTGGCACAGAGGGTACTTCAATTTCTCCCCAGTCTTGCGGACCTTGAGATGCAAATAACCGAGCGAGATGATGCGGTTCGAGCCCTCCTTCTCGAATATCTCAGGGTTCTGGACATCGACTTTGTCAAAATAGTCGGCCATCGCTTTTGCCCATTGCTGGAAACCATCGGGTCCAGTGTACTCGCCAGCGTAGGGTAGTCCAGATGATTGTTTGAGGCGCACTTCTTTGGAGAGAGTTGCTGCCATACCGCTGAAGTCGCGTTCTTCAGGTGGCGAAGCCATGTAAATGCGCTCAGCATCGTAGAATGACTCGAGGATTGATCGTGCAGTGTGGGTAGTGGTGGACGCCATCTTGGATGTTGTGATGATGATTCTTTTAGAGGGAAATGATTGATAGACAACAGTTGCTTACAGAAAGCGAAAACACAATGCGATATTACGGTCTATTTATCTGCTTATCAAATAGAGTGCTGATTAACTGGGACTAAGCTAGCTGTAGGATTTTTGGGTTACATGCTGCATAATCGTCGAATGGAGATGGCTCATCAGTATCTCCAAGGAGGATTCTCCAGGGACTTTTGATGTAGTTACCTGAAATGGCAATTGGGGGCCGGAGTTTTCGGAGTACGAAGTTGCCGGCTGCTATCAATTGCTTGGACCGACCGGGTCTAAACTTTGCCGATGCCATTATTCCCAAGGCATTTCCCACGACATTGGAGATTGAGTGTCTAACCGTATTCTCATAGATAATAAGGCTTCTTCCCCGCAACCAGCCAGCCTGTCTCTTGGCAAAGCTTGACTCGGCCAGGAATGCATGAATTGAACAAACGGGGAAAAGCTCAATCGAGACAGACACAGTTTAGCACGTGGGACTTGGAACTTTGTGGGAAAGACAAAATGGCCGAATCACATTCGGAAATCTCTTGGTCACCGCTAATCGATCTCTAACCTTGTTATTTTGGCGACGGTGCCTGGCGTGACCTCATTTTCGGGTCCAGATGAAAGAGAGTGGCCAACAAGAAGACGAATTCTCGATTTCTGGGGCTACGTAACTACCTATTCTAGAAAGGACCTAGATCCCCCAGTTCACGGACCGTTTCCAGGTGACGTTGGAGGCAACTATGACGCAATGAGCACGAGGGACACAGAGGGGACCACCCAAATTTTGCGGCTACCACCTACCTCCAGTCCCTGTCCGCCCTCCAGCATCATCCCCACGAATAAGCCAACCTAAGACATGACATGACATGACTTCTCATACCACGATACAATGTCGAGCTCTGCAGAGCTGCAACGCGAACGCGAGGTGCAGGGTTACTTCCAGAGCTGGCAGATAGCGCAAGGCTCTTCTCTCAAGGTCGCTAGAAGCGTCGACAGCATCAGCGCGCCATCTCAGATCAATGACGCACACACGCCTCAGCCCTCCTCCGACAAAGCGCTCTCGGCCTTTGCGCAACTCGCTGTCTTTCGTCTCAATGTGAAGCGCTGCATGGTCTCGCTCATCGATTCTTCTCATCAATACATCCTCGCTGAAGCCACGCGAAATCTGCGATTGGGGTCACTCGAAGAAGAACAGGGTGCGAAAAAGACCGACGGCAAGAAAGACTCCAAAATAGCCGAATATAACAGTGATTTGTGGTGTAGGTTGGACGATCTCTATAGTTGAGACAAACACAGCTCCTTCCTTATGTTCATGGCTAATTACTTGCAGTGGGAACTTCGATTCTCTCCCGCCCAGAAGCCGTTTGCGAGCACTGCCTACACAATACATGCACCGGTCGTGATCCCGATGGCCAAACATACACGGCCTCTGGCCTTATCGTTCCCGACTGTCGCCTCGACGACCGCTTCAAATCGCGCGTATATGTCCAATCCGAACCAGGTGTGCGCTTCTACGCTGGCGTACCTATCTTCTCACGAAAAGGATACAAGATCGGAGCGTATGCTGTTTCAGACGAGCAACCGCGCGATGGACTATCGATCGAGGATGTGAAGTTTATGCAGAGTATTGCACAAGCTATCACTGAGCATTTAGAATGGGCACGCGACCGTGTTGACAGGTTCAAAGGTGAACGCATCGTTCGCGGACTGGCGACCTTCATCGAAGGCTGCTCAAGTGACGACCCTATGTTGTCCAAGGAGGATCAACCTCAGAGACCCTCGATCAAACGTCCCCCAGGCATGACTATAACGGCGACGAGACGCTCTTCTTTGCACAAGACCATGCGCAAAGTCGATCCTGACTCCAATCAACGATCTCAGGTAGCTACGTCGCCGCCTCGCAAGCACAAGCCACAGACGGACGGTTTATCGAGAATGTACCATCGAGCGGCCGATAACCTACGATCTGCGATCCTCGCTGATGGAGTTGTGCTCTTCGGCGCCACAGCCTCCAACGTTCAACACCTCACCCGGGCAGTACAGATAGAACGTGCTGGTGCCATGAACGCTGACGGACCGACGACGCAAATCGCTGCAGAGCCCGATACGTTCAGCACAGAGAGCTCCGACTCCGAGACATCACCGCTGTCAAGACCTTGCAAGCTTCTTGCTTACTCTTTAGCAGACAAGGGCAAACCCTTGGACCTCGAGCAAGGCCCATCCTTCTCTGTTGGAACTCTCGAGAAATACTTTTCACTCTTTCCCAAAGGAAAAACTTTTACTTTTACAGATGAAGGAGCCGGTCTTTCGTCTGATGACGATAGTGCGAGCGATGGTAGCCCTACACCCGCCGGAGGGAAAAGCAAGCGACGCAAAGAAAAGATTGACCACAAAGAACTCCTTAAGAAGATACCTGGGGCAAAAGCCGTTGTCTTCTTGCCATTGTTTGACTACGTCGAAGATAAACTTGTTGGTGGGTGTTTTCTTTGGACGTCAGTGCCGGGTCGTATGATGAACTTGGATAAGGACCTTTCCTACCTACGAGCTTTCGGCAACAGCATCACCAGTCAAGTCGGACGAATAAACACACGAAAGAACGAAGCAGCAAAGACTACCTTCATCGCCAGCATGAGTCACGAGTTACGAAGTCCTCTACATGGCATCTTGGGCGCTGCTGAGTTCCTCAAAGACGCAGTGACCGACTCGTACGAAGCCGGCCTCGTCAACTCGATCGCGACTTGTGGCAAGACACTTCTCGATACCTTGAACCACGTGCTTGACTTCAGCAAGATAAACAATCTCGGTAGCGGACATTTGAGAAAAGGCGCAAAGCACAACAAGGTCATTAGTCTCTCTTCAGATTCCATGGAGAGTCTAAATATGACGGCTGCGGTAGACCTCTCCATCCTTGTCGAGGAAGTTGTCGACGCCGTGGCAACTGGCCACAACTTCAAAAGGCTACCCAGGAGGCAACAAGACGATGCAATATTGAGCGGCAAGGATAGCCAAGGAGCCCCAGAACCAGGAAACGATCATCCTGTATCAATCCTTCTGGATATTAGCCCGAGGGCATCATGGATGGTCAAGACACAGCCTGGCGCCCTTCGAAGGATTGTCATGAATCTGTTCGGTAACGCGCTCAAGTACACAGCATTGGGCTTCGTGCTTGTCTCGGTACGGGCGCAAGAGATCAGCGACGACTCTAGAATAGATGTCTTGATCCGAGTCACGGATACCGGAAAAGGAATGTCGGAGGACTTCCAAGAGAATCGTCTCTTTGTTCCTTTTAGCCAGGAAGATTCATTCCAACCTGGCACCGGTCTGGGCTTGAGCATTGTCAAACAGATTGTGGATTCACTCGGAGGAACACTCGAGGTCAAGTCGGAACAGGATAAGGGTACTGAGATTGAAGTCCGACTCCGTCTCGAGCCGGTTTCTAAAGAGAACCCCAAGCCGGAAGAGCCTATGACTTCCATGGTCAAACAACTTCGGGGAATGTCTTTGGTGCTCCTAGAAGCAAGCGAGGACTTTCACTCGAAAACCATTACTAAACAAGTCGAGGTGCGCAACGAAGCCTTGATAGAAATCTTCTCAAGTTGGTTCAACATAAAGGCTACCAGAGAGGTAGATACGGATGTACCCGATGCTGATTTCTATCTCTATTGTGAACCCCCATCCGCAAAGGCTCTTGAAAAGCGCTTCGAAGAGACTGCGATAGACGGAGGCCGCAATAAGAAAGCGCCCATCATCATCATCAGTCTGAATGAAGAGGAAGCGGCAAAGATATCAAGAGCGCAGACTAAGGCTTTAGCCAGATTGTCAGATGTGGTTGAAGTCATTCCACAACCGTAAGTCATGGTCTCGCGCAACGCTATATGGATGCTAACATGTACTCAGATGTGGCCCTAGAAAGCTAGCCCAAGTATTCAGCCGGTGCTTGAACAGGATTGGAGAGGTCAGAAAGGACGATAACAACAGAAATCTGATCCAGAGTGCGCAGACAGATGGCAAACAGTCAAGCGAGCAGAACACTCCGGACAGAGAGGACGCAACAGAACAGATGAACTCGAAATTGCGTCAAAACAAAGACAATAAACCCGGTTGGGCTGAGACTACTACGTCACCTTTACCACGAGGAAAGGAAGAACAGAGCCGCTCCAAAAACGACAGTCGGAATAATGGCCAGAACAACGAAAAGAAGGAGAGTAATGAAGAGTTCAGGAAGGAGGTGAACAATAAGTCTTCGCAAAATACACGAAAACAAAAGATGCCAGAGATGCCAGGCAAGGCACACGTCCTGCTCGTCGACGACAACAAGATCAACCTCAACCTCCTAACAATGTTCATGA